TTGATTTATTGATTATATCAAAATAGGTTGTATCTATCATTTTTAAAGGTCAATAAATCAACAAACTATTATTAATGCTCAATGGTGGAGAAAAGTTTTAGCTCAGGTGGTGTTTCGTTCTCTGAGCTGGATGTTTTGGTTGTGGAGCTTTCATTGTTCTTCTGAACAACATCATCAGCATAAACTTCTGAAGTTTTTCTTTCAGAAGTACAATGAAAGCTCCACAACCAAAACATCCAGCTCAGATAACGAAATACCACCACTATCATTAAATTTATCTGACTGAAAACCCAAGGTGCATTTAATACGAGACAGCATTTTCGTAAAATCAGTCTCACTTGTAAGGCCGAAAAAAGTACGTATTACCGTAATATGTCAAGCCTCGAAATGTTTATCAGAACCTAATTTTCCTGTAAGTAGAATTAATAAGCTTTACACTTAATGAGAAAATTAAATTGGGATATTTAGATGAAACATAATAGGCTCCACATTATTATGACATCAAGTATCACATAAATTTTACGTACAGTAATTTTGTAGATTAAATTGATACAAAGAAAGTTCTTGTCATCGACTTACCTCATCTACGGAATTAAAAACTATCGAAGTATACTTTCAACTAAGTTTGGAACTCGTTGGCTGCGTGTACTCATAACTTTGCTAAGGATTGAATTCAAGACCTTCTTGAGATGTGGATAGCCGATTATGTCATAAACATTACAAATCCAACTTCAGGTAGTTGATAATACAACGAAACTCTCAAATATTAGAATATACAAAAATGCCATTACAAATTTTGAAATTTTCTCATAACTTGTGCAAAGTAATATTACTATAGAAATTTTAAATACTTTTTTGAATTTTTCTTCATCATTTTTAACTCAAATTATTTACTTAATGATGCCATCATTCGCGTCTGAGTAAAACTTTTTAATTCCAACTATAAGCTTCTTCCCACTTATTTGTCTGTACGTCTCAGTTTAAAACTGTATTTCTTACTGATATGTCAAGTCTATAAGGGGCTTATCCCAGCAATTAGACAAATTAATCAATTCATTCTTCTCAAATTATTATTCGACCTTGTCAACTGTTCTTTTACAATTGAGTGAGTGCATCGCTTGTTTCTCTTATCACCAATGTTATTCTGTATCAATGACTGTTTTTGTTTCTTTTCAAATCCATAAAAAGGAACTGCATCTATGGAATTGTCAATTCTTTAATTAATTAGTTCGGCAGTCCCGTTCTCGAATCTCTTTAAGTGAAGTTTGGTTGTTATTATTATTTTAGTGACTGAAATTTGAATGCAAAATCTTACGACATATATGGGTTCTTCATTATTTAAGGAAATCCGAAAGTACGCTACCTTAACCCTTCAGTTACTGCTCCTGTTTTCTAGAGTTTTACTTTTTATGAATAAAATCAGCGAACACTTGAAACGTTGCAATTGACGGATATGAAAACAGGAACTCTGTTTTATTTCTTATTTGTAAGCTTACAGTGCATTATCTTTGAATATTTTTGCCATAAATTTAAACTTTCCTAATCGACACCAACAAAGAAGACTTTATAACTAATTCACCGTTGTTTAGAAACTCATTCTGGTTAAATGTGTGAAGGGCGTTATCGATTTTCTAAGGGATATAATTATTTACAAGATTGTCTGTTTTGAACTTAACTGTCGTTGAACTTTCTCGTTACAAAACTATGTTGTCATCTTTACAAAAACTGAAAAAATAGCAACAGAATAGACTAAACTTAAAAACTGTAGGTGTATGTAAGCGCTTGCATAATTACTTCATTCAAAGTGAATCAAGAAAATTATGACATGCTTCGAAATGTGATTGTCAAAATTCCAATGATAAGCCATGACCATTGGAGTTCAGTCAGATAGAACTTGAGACTAATATCATCAATGGTGGTGAATGGGAGAGAATTGCCTCAAGCAATAAATGTAAACCAATGAATACTAATTCACTGGTCTAGATGTTAATTGCTGTTGACATAGTAATTTTGGTTTTGATCTTAGGTGTAGCCATGAATTTAGGCTGTTAAGTTGTCGCATGGGAGGATGCAGAGTCTGTTCAGCGTTTTCTATTGGTTAATAATTTTTTACAAAAGTCAATCCATGACATAAAACTACTGATATTGAATATGAAATTCTCAATTTACCATGTATTAACAATCATGAGAAGTTTAGTGAAATGAATTATTGTTAACACTATTATTATTGTCTTTACTAGAAGTTTTGACAAGTGGAATAGGAAAGTTGTAAATGAAATAAAACATGTTGGAAATATTTTATAGGAATATTGTCTTAGTTGATCACTACATGGATCTGTAAACCTAATTTATGAATTAATAACTGATATGATTTTGATTGTTCAAAATAGATTCAATATGAACGTTAATCAAAAGATTTTTTTAAACCTCTTTTTTCGAAAAAATACCCTTTGGAATAATTTTGTTCTATAAAAATTAGGATTATTGTTATTAAAACGAAACAAGTCAAATAATAATTCCATTTTTTCTTTGCAATCTCATGGAATTAGGAATTTTTTCGTGTGGGGCAGGGGAGAGGAGTGGGAAAGACTGTTAGAAAATGAAGGATAAGTCAGACTAAAAGAAAATAGAACAATTTGATATTACATACAATTTTATTTAAGATTAAACAGAATAAATATATGTTATTAGATGAACTTCAAAGTAACATTAACTTCATACCATTGGGTTTTTGTTAGCTTTACAATGGAATGATAATGATTTTTATTCAACCAAAAGTATACATTTTTTTTTAAAATCCTACAATGAGACTTTTCTGCAGCAAACAATTTTACTGTAGTGAATATTTTTTATACCAGTGACACAGTGAATCATTAGTTATGTTTTTCTTTCAGCTCAGTCATACCAGTAGTTAGCTAACAAACTTCATTTATTATAAAACCAATATCTTCTCTACTATTCACGAAAATTTGTTAGAAATGTTTAGTAAAATGTTTTTATTACATGTAATAACATAAAATTTAGATGAATAGCATTTTATCCTAATTGATAAGATATGAAATATGATCATGTACATAATATCTAATGATCATACAAAATTTAAACATATTTGAATGGCCATTTAATTTATAGAAAAGTGTTCAGCATTTAAAGCAGCACTTGATAAAAAGCGCAAAAGGTTATTTATTGATGATTTGAAATTTCAACAATTCTATCTATACATCATCATATTCACTGACTACAAATTTCAATCTTTTCTAGTTCAAAACATTTCACATTACTGATTTATAAAACAGGTGTCAACAAATATATAATTTCTCATGTCATAATGTTTTACATAACGATTATGTATTGTAAATATAAAATTATATTTGTTTATTCTGTCAATAATTGTCTAATCATTAGTTTACACTTAAATAATAATCGTTTATTCAAATGCTAAAGTTGAGAGTGAACTGTGCAATTCAATATCCAATTCATCGAAATATGCTAACGGCTTTTATCAATGTTATCATGAAATTAAATGAATTCTCAAAGATTTTCTGGAAGAAAGATTCATTTAATGGACACTATTTGGAGTGAAATGGTCAAATTACAATAATTCTGTACTGAACTGTAACTTTTCACCACTTTGTAGATCCGTGACATTCATTTGAATGATGACAATTGAATAAAAATGTTTTCTTATCATTTATTCAACAACCATAATTGAATAATCAGTACAATTGATATTTATTGATATTTTGGAATTATTCAAACAATATTTATTACATATTCGAAAGTTTTTATAATTCTTTTGCTTCAAAATTCTATGGAAAAATGCATCTTTAAGTCGCAATCGAATGTTATTCAATATTATTGACAGTGAGACATTAGATTAATTGCGTTTTTAAATAATGATTTATTTATCGCTAACCTCAAGCCCAATCCTCATTTATCCGGGCTTGGGACCGGCAGTGGCCCAAGAGGATTCCAGGTAGAGTAAAACAATATTATTAGCAATATATTTTGCAAAGTTTCGATTTTCGTGAATTGTACCATAGTTATGTTGTCAGTTTCTATATGTTTTTGGGATTGAGAAACATGATATAGATATCTTTTACGGTACTTTTTGATCGATAAACCAATAAAACTACATCTGCACAAAGTCTGAGTTATGTTTATTTCAGTTGCGTTTGTCCCAGTCGAATGTTACTTAATATTATTGATAATCAGAAATGAGGTTAATTGCGTTTTTATCTATACCTTAGTAAGCAGTGATTATTTTAGTTCAACATCAATAAATAGTTTAACACTTGTAGCTATATACTCAACTCTAATTATTTTTGAAGTTTATTTGCCCTGAATTAGAATATTTTATAAACATCTAAACATGTATATTACCAATTAACAGATCACAAAAACATAAAATAAAAGTTATAACTTATATATGGTTGATTCAAAAGGATGGAAAAAAAAATTATATTGACATTTGAATAAGAGTTAAACAAAGATGATGGTTGTAACTTAGGATTTGGAAGTTAGGTTAGACTTAAACAAATTCAACGTCACATTGATATGACAAGAATTAGGGGAAACCCGATTGTTTTATTAATCTGTAGTCTTTTTTCTTCATTCTTCACCAAACAGTTTTTTAGTTGACAAATAACTCATACTTATGTTATTTTAAATAAGTCGTCTCTCTACAAATTACGACCTTAATTACATAGACCTAAAGACTTAGCGCTACTTACTCCTGATGACTGTAAGGTTGAAGCTCAGAAATCTAGTTTTTGAATTGATTATCTTATTACTAAATTGTTATTTCACAACAAAAGTAAGCATATCGATTTGATATTCATCTTTCAACAGTATCGAAAATCAAACAAAATTATGATATCATTATCAAAAGAAATTAAGCAATCTCATGTAAATGAATACTGAACATGAAAAACAAAAATTATTTTAAACTTTTACGTTTGAAAAATATCTCATATGAACAATATAAAATAATCACTTACATTGAATGAACAACACCCCAACTAATTTTTTGACAAGTTATAGTTGTAGGAAATATTGAAATGGTTATTAGTCCATAAATTAATAACAAAGCTGTACATTTTGTCATAATTTTAGCATGATTTGATGTTATAAATTTAATTTTAGAGAAAAGTTTCATTTTTTTTTCAAATCTCACAAATCGGTTTTTATATAGGAAACTGACACAATGAACTAGAAGATTTACCGGTGGAATTGGCTATCATTGATTTAACAACATACATATTTTGATTTTTCATTGCTTGTGAATAAAACGTCATTCATTGTGATGGTTGTTTGATAAGCTGTTTGATAAGCATACTCGATTGTTAAATCACCTTTATTTTATGATTATTATTATTATTTTTTCGTTTAAAATGAAGATTTAAACAAATTTTTAATGGTACAATATACATCCTTGTGTGTGCAAGTGTGTTGTGCATTAGGGGTTTTTGTGCATAACTACTAGTTGGTTTGCAAATTTTTGTTCAGTTCATATGTGTAAAAACGAATCAACCGTATTTCTTAGAGATTATTACTGGTGTACATAATGGACATATCACATTAAAAACATGTACCTGTAATAAGGATTTTTGTAAGTACAAACTGATTGATTCAATAGGTAAAATAGCTGTTTTTTGCATAATTATCATTATTAAATAATTTTACAATTTTTCAGTTGAACCATCTAAAGACAATCAAAGGGAGTGAGTGAGAGAATTGCAAAGACTATTGTTCATCTACTATACCCTTCGTCCTATCAGTATCTAGCTACCTTACTTAGTTAGTCAGAGTACTTTACATATGCAAATGTATATATATATATAACCTTATCAATAATAAATTGCTTTATGTAAAGAAAAAGCTAGAAAGAATAGAATATAACAGACAAATATTCAAGACAGAAATATAGGTATATTTGTTTGATTTCGTCTTTGCGAAAAAAAATTGACTTTATGGAAACAATAAAACTTCAAAATAGAATAATAATAATAATAATGCATGGTGAAATACATTAATATTAAATCCAGGGAAAACTAAGTCACATGTTCAATTGGTTTAACGTTGAACTTTTGTTTTTTTTTACAGATACAATGTAATTCATGTTTTACAAGAGCTGAATAATAGGCCAGACACCATCAACAACAAACTACTGTTGGTAATAGCAAACCAGATTCCAGCAGACGAAGAAATTAGGAGGAGGAGGAGGAGTTGGAAGTGGATAGGACATACAGTGAAGAAAGCACCTAACCACGTCACAAGACAAGCCCCAACTTGGAATCCTCAAGGCCAAAGGAGAAAAAGAGGGCCTAAGAACACATCACGTCGAGAATCGGAGATCGACATAGGAAGAATGAACAGCACTTATAGAGGTAGAAAAGAAGGACAAGTACAGAGTAGGTTGGCGAATGCTGGTAGGCGGCCTAAAGATAACAGGCATAAGTAAGTAAGTGACTATAATTTTTATGGAGGAAGAATAAAAATTAGTCTGTGAATATTACTAAATTGGGTGACTTATTCAGAGCTTTGTGTTCGACAGCTTGTCTCATAATTCCTTTCATTATTTTATGATTTTATATCTGAAACTGATGAAAAATCATATAATTTTAGGTTTAACTACAAACAGTATTCAACTGATGATAGTTAAAAATTCACTTTACGTTCAGTCAATGTCCCGTTTAAAATGACGTCGTAAGTAAAATTAATATTTGAATGACTAATATGACAAGGATCGTCTTGTCGAGTGAAGAATTAGTCTTAGTTGCGAGTGATAGATCAATCAGTTCTCGGTACTTAAGAAGTTTTATCACTTGGTGCCAACAGTCTGTTATTGAGATTGATATTGAAAAACGTTTTTGTTACAAATTCATTTTTCAAACAACAAAGGATAATTATGAGCATAAGAGTTTGACTAATCAAGGTTTTGAACCCCATTGCGATAATTAGTTCCTCTAGGATTGCAGGCATACTTTTCTAATAAGTAGCAGATAACGGAGAACCTAAGTTCAAAGTTTCCTGTCGACTTCTTACAGCTACCTCATATCTCAGCATAATGGAAATGCTACCAAGTCGCTGAAACGAGTGGACACGTTACAAATCAAACGATAGAATAAACAAACGTGACCTAGGTTACCACTCACTGACCAATCATATCGTACATCCTGCATCTAATTTACATGCACTTTCGTTTATTTTGTTTAATGAAGCCTTTTAATTTATCAGGCAGTGGGAAACGGAAATTTTTATAAGATTAATATTTGGAACTAAAGTTGCATGCTTCTAAGCAAGTAAATGATTGCTAACCGGTAAATAGGACTGGACACACATTAAAATAATAAGGCTCGCACTACCAACGTTATATTTCAAATGGTTCAGTTCAAACAGCCATAGCTTTCAAGTTACTTGGTCAGCTGTTTGTACAGATGAATGATATCGAATTATATTTAATGTTTATGAGACTTATAATTCAAAATGTAACTAAGTGAAATTGAGCTGTAAAAAATTCTTATATTATGTTTGTTGATCAGTTTATTTTTTATATGACACGTCTGATCAGTATGAAATTACAGTCTCAGTAAATTATTGAAGAATATTCCTTTCATCTTCACCGAAATCAGTTAGTTGAATCCCAATTGTACAAGCACTTTACCTTTAAACACATAACAGTGGCAGATCAATTCTAACTTAACCTTCAGACAACACTAAAAAAACTTTTGGTTTATAATATAGTTATGATTATTTCAGAATAAGTACATTTGTTAGTTTACGCTAAAAACAGTAAGTAAGATATGAAAAGGTCAACGAAAATCTCTTAATTATTTATTTATTTATCAATTTATTCTTACCATGAATTCAGTTAACATAAATCAAAATGAAGATACGAATAGATTACACGAAAAATGAAATCAACAAATAATTAGCCTAATTAGGTGAATATAGTTGATTTTTTGTACTTTCTTTCTTTCCTTCTTTGATGCTTACCTTCTTTCAAAATTTACATAATTTAAAAAGTGCATTGCTTATTACTCCTCTTTTATCTATTAAAAATAGATTACTTTCGTTTGTTTGACACAGGAATCAACTCTGGGAATAATAATAATAATAATAATAATAATACCGATTAGCATCAAAAGCTCATTCTTCTGAGTATCATACAAATAAAGAAGAAGAAAAAAGGAGGAAATTAAATGGGTTTTCTAGTTTAATGATCTCGTTTACGTGAAAGAACCTAACTTACGAAAAGTTTCAAGACTGGAGTGAGGTGAATATATATATATATATATATATATATATATATATATATAATGTTTGTTATTCAGGCTAGTTAACTGACTAGCATTAAAAAGCACGAACTATCGTTGTACGGCTTATTGAGTGATTTTCTGTGCTTGAATTTAGTAAAGAGGTTAGCTTCATTGACCAAAAGAAAAAACAAATGAACACTATGATCATGTTTTTTTTGATTTGTTTGAAATCTGTTTTTCACATAAATTAACATCAACTGAAAATCTAATGAAAATTAAGAAGCACTAGATATTTACTGCATCCAATAGTGTGATAAACTGACAAGATTCACTATCCCATTTAATATCTTATTATTTCCATTTGATTGACCAACAGGTTGATTATATACCATTGAGTCGAAAAGCAGAAGGTTCTCCTCATACCTAAATTGAAGTGACCAACTGTGCAATACGATGATTATATAATACCATCGGTAAGTCACTCGCGGATTCTCGATAAAAATAAAGCTCTATCAGTCATGACACCTCATAAAAATATTGACAAACTGTTTTCAAGCTAGTTCCTATTTGACAAGTTATCATTAATTAGTTGAACTATTTTTGAAAATCGATTTCACTGCTTGCTATAAAACTAAAAAAATCTATCATTAAACCAGACCTTATATATGAAGAACATTTAATGAATGCGAAAATTTCTTCTTCCATTCATAACTACACAGGTAAAAAAAGAAAAGTTTCTTAACAGCACCCGATGATTATTTACCTAAACTTTTACTAAAATTGAATTGTTTAGCATTTCCATTCGTTTTTTTTTTCATTAAAATTTACTAGACTTTCTTCTCAAAATAAACATTTTATAAAAAGGAAATGCTTTGCAATTGAATGTAACCATTCAGTTAACTAAATATATAAACAAACTTTTACAAATCTCCTCATTAAATGTTGAAGTAGTAAAGAGTATGGGAAAAAATCAGTTTTTCGATGCCTAGAAAGTATGTTTTTCTTACACTGACCGAATTCATCGGATCATCATCATGGTAAACAAGGTAAACAAGCAATTGGCCATTATTATTATTATTATTAGTAGTAGTAGTAGTAGTAATAGTAGTAGTAGTAGTAGTAGTAGTAGTAGTAGTAGTAGTAGTAGTAGTAGTAGTAGTAGTAGTAGTAGTAGTAGTAGTAGTAGTAGTATCATACAAAACACAAACAACTAGACTAATTAATAAATTTTGACAATTTAAGAAAAATAAACTATGGTAACATGGTATTATTTATTACTTGTAAAATAGTAAATTAATTCTTCACCTGACTACTTAATCTTATTATTAAGACAGTCTAGATGAATACTAGAAACTTTTGGATTTGTTTGCATGAAAAATATAGTTGGATGCAATAAAAAGTAAAGTTTATAGTTTTTTCTTTTTAAACTAAAGAAAACACTACCTATAGATTACTTTGTAATATTCATTTTCATAAGAAAGAGGGTAATGTGATAATTTAACTAATAGAATAGACAACATAACAGAAATAATTGTAACATTGTGTTTCACTATGCCAATAGTTCACTGTTTACATAATTATTAATTCATAAGAATTTTTTTTAGAATTACTTTCAAAATAAATAGAATTTTATAAACTTAAGACATTAAAAAAGATAGATGCCAAGAGAGAGAAGAGGATGAGTTGTTTTCAAGTAAGCATTTTCGGTTTATCCCATTTGTGAAGGCTTATATATATTTTCTAATAAAAAAAATGTTTGTTGTTAGTTAATTCATGCCAGTAAGTAAAACTGCCCTGAATTTGATTTTCACACTGGTTGATGCATATGATAGATGAGTTTCTGTAACCTTGTGGAAAATGATGATCCCAATGGAACTTAAATTAGGTATTAATCAGCGCTCCAATTAGAAATGTTACAATTGTTGTGTTTGAATCAGGTGTAATTTTTAGTAGGAATGAGTTGTGTACTAATTATGTATTAACTCATCAGTATATATTGCAGAATTAATGTCATATTACTGTTTGTGTGAACGGTAACGTAATGTTATTTCTAAATAAAAAATAATAATAATGAGAACTGGAAACATTTCCAAAAGTTAAGAAGTTGTATTATTTGTACTTTATTATTCGCTTTACTATTAGTTAACTAAATATAACTACATAGTGTAAAATAGAACGTGAAATGAACATAATCATTCTAAAATGCTGGACACATAAAGATGTGAATGCATGAAGCATGAGCAGTTACTGTTTACTCACAGGCTAGAACTTTAACAAGCATTTAGGTTGGTATTTAACCTTCTTTTGAGCACAGTGACTCTTCTTTATGTTTAAAGAATATCAGGTTTTATATAATCACAAATATGACCCTGTTCTTTCAGTGATACTCAACTGTACATACATAAGAAATGTAAGCCGAAATTCACTTCCAAGTTGAATGGTGTAATTGTTTCTCATTGTTCTACATTTGGAGAATGACCGACTCTTTATCATCCAAATTCTTACAAATTAGCCAACAGGTGCTGGAATGAGCAGAAACGTTTTAAACACAAAAACTTAAACAGTCGAAGATGAGTTCAAAAGATTTTACAGAAAGTATTCAGTCACTTATTTTTTCATCATTTTCTTTCAGAGTTTTATAACTCGTGTTTATACATTCTTAACTTCAGAATTTTCTTCAAGCGTGCAAGCTGTGTTAAATTGTTTGCTTTTCTTAGAAATCTTAACTTAAAAAAGTTAAATGTTCAAATTCATCAAATATCAAGCATAAACAAATGACCATTTAACACCTGTAATCGATTTATTGACACATATTAGTAATACGACGTAACCAGTTATGACTAATGCTGAAGATTTATAACAGCATCTCTCTTGAAGCTAGTCTCAGAGGTACAACCTGCGTTCAATGCGTTTCACTGATTCCAAGAGCCTCCATAATGTATCTTTTCATCTCTGCAGCAACTTGGAGCAGTTTTCCAGTCTCCCACACTGTTTGAAAATTCCATGTACCTAAAAGAATGGTTGCTCCGGTTGTCGAAAGGGGCATTGGCCTCGTGACTTCCGAAGATACTTTGCTTTTTTCATGAGACGTCATAACTTTTCTGAATGAAGACCTGCTAACTCCCAGGACAGAGTTAAAATGGTTAGCGTTTTAGTGAGTTAGTTTTCTACAGAATTGTGTAGCTAACCTCAAGCTCAATCCTCCTTTATCCGGGCTTGGGACCGGCAGGGGCCCCAGAGGATTCCAAGTAGAGTAAGACAATCTAATTCACAAAAAATTTAGGAGAAAATAATTCATTCAAAATTTAATCACATAAATGACCAATATATTTTGTAAAGTTTTAATTTTCGTGAATTGTACTATAGTTATGTTGTCAGTTTCCATATGATTTGGGATTAAGAAACATGATATAGATAGATTTTACGGTACTTTTTGATACTTAATCAATAAAACTACATCTGCACAAAGTCTGATTTATGTTTGTTTCAGGTGTTTTTGACAATGACCACTATCTCCAGTGTGAATGATATTTGAAATCGACCATAAAATTTAATAAGTTTTATTTGATTTTCTAAATCGTTTGAACCTGTTTGTAAATGTTTTTTTTTAAACAAATTTTTCTCATTTATGAAGAGAAATATGTTTAAGCTCACTAGAAATTTATAATTATTGGAATGTCCTCCTTTTACTAATACGTTAACTATTTGTTTTTCTGCTAGTGGTCATGGTATGTGATATCTGAGATAGATTTATCTTGATCCCCGAGCTTATGTATAGCACTCTAATCTCATCTTTTCATTTAACCTCATTATTACTTATCACCTATCGTATTTCGTTCTCAAAAAACCAACTAGTAGTATCACACATAATTTCAAGCATTTTTGGTGTGTAGTAGTATGTTGAGCCCACAAGGCTTGTCCCAGACTTTTGAACAGTTTATTAATCCATTCTTCTCGAGTTATGATTTAAACGTCTTTCAACCTTGTCGTCTATTATTTACTCATAACCTTGGTGTTTGTATTTATGTGTGTGCTGCCTACTTTGCTTATCACATGTCAAACGTATTTTGTCTGGCTACAAATACTTGGTCATTCTTCATCGCATTGAATTAGGTCATTCGCCTGCTCCACTTCGCTTTGCTTTCACGCTCTTCATCATCATTTCTCTCTGCTTAAATGAATGTATGAAATTAATTTATTCGCAAAACCCGCAATGGGTTTTTAATCATCACCATCGCAGAAACAAGGTTTGTCTGAGTATGATGATTTACTTCACCGTATACCCGATCATTTCTACAAATTGGAGTCAGATCGCTTGGACCACTAAACACTACTCGATAATATCATATCAACCAATGAACCTCACCTAAAAAATCGTAGAGAATACTAAGTACTATAATTATTTATCAGCATAAACTGAATCTTGTATAAAACTCTCACAGTAATTTTTAATTATTCATACTAATAATATTGATTATAACACTGCAAGCCATTTTTTATATCTCTACTAAGTACAATATGAGATATGATAAATTTGAAATGAAATCATGCATTTTGTCAAAAATACTACTACTTATTGTTCATGCTCGCTGAGATCATAAACTAAAAACGTTATAACAAACAAATAAATTATTGCAACCATGTAAAAATTATCAATTACATTTTATTAGTCAATTTTTTTTAATGCAAAAATAGCAATGAATAATAACTGTGTTGTGGTTGAAAAGTCAGGAGAGAAAAAACAGAACAACAATCACTTAGTTCTTTATTATATTTATTATTTATGTTTGATTTTTAATTTGATAGACTATACATACAAATGATTTATCGTATTTTTGGCAAATAAAATAAGGAATTCGGTAGAAAAGCAATAATAATAATAATTTCTCTTTTTTATTGTATTTCCATTAATCATTGAAATTTAGATCGGTATACAAAAACATGCACCTGTATAGTACGACATGATTAATGATTAATGCAAACATAACCACTTTGTATCGTCCATGTTTTAAGTGAGATGAATAAAAAGATTGCAAGCAAAATGAGCTATATCACTAATAATAATAATAATAATAACAATAACAATAATAATAATATTAATAGTATTAGTGGTGGTAATCTAAATAATGCTGGTACTATCCTATGTTAAATGATTCTTATATTTACATGTAATTTTCATATTTACTAATAATTTTAATGTCAAAATTATTGGTAGTCAAGACACCAAAAAGCTATTTCTTTCTGTTAAAAAAAATAGCAATAAGCGAAACATTGAAAAATAACATAATTTTTATTATTTAACAAGTTACATGACGTAAAACAAAGAAATATAGAAAATGTACCTATTGAAGTAGATAGATTGAGAATTAAATCTTCAGTGATTCCCAGGTAAAAAAAATAAACACAAATAGGGGATCAAAAAAATTGTAATAATAATGATAATAACAATGGAGATCATAACTTACTCGTCTAACATTTAGTACTTCTGTATATTAGAAGAATGAATAGAAAGTAGACAGATTCAAAAATTATTATAAAGTTCAGTGTTAATCCGATGTGTTTATGTCACTCTTTGACATTACTTAGGCGGAGATTTTGAGTGTGTAAAAGTACTCTACAATCACTTAATAATAAATTGGGGAAAAATTAGTATTATGCTACTTTATTGAGTTTTTAATTCCATGTTAATCAGCTGTTTGAATTTCTATCTTCTCATAATTAAATAAACGTGTTTGTGAAGATTTCAAATACGTTGTATTTGCTAAACGAAAACATATTGCTGTGTCAAATGCCAATTTTTATTTATCTACTGCTAAATATTTTTTATCAGTAAAGGGCTGGACAGTGTTTTGTTAAAATGAATTAAGCAGTTTGCAGTGTTTTCATAAAAATAGATAGATTCATAAAATTTTAATACTGATCAATATGAATAGGAATGACAAGTAAACAACGGTGTTTTATACAGTTTTTCATATTAAGGAACACAATTTATGAAGTAATAACAAAAACAATCTCATCGATAAAAAAATGATAGAACGGTAATCAATGTGAAAGAATTAAGATTGATTTAAGTAGTTACTTGCTAATAACAAGCGCTGATTATGAAATGAAAAGTGACTGCAGCTCAAATAAAACTCAGGAAGCTAAAGAAATTGATTTTCTTTCTTTATTTGTGAACAAAATTCTCTCAAACATAGATCAATACTTGGTTAAAAAAATGAAAACTTGAAAATGTTATCTGGAAACGTGTTAGCATTTATATCCTATTTAGAGAAATGTCTCGGAACGAATCGAAATGTAAATTGAAACAGTATTGAGAAATTTCTGGCATACATAAAAAAAATGAAAAATCACCATCTCTGCTCTGCTTACTTAGACTAATGCAAAAACTCTTGACTCCATAACAATCGACTGATTGTATGGCATAACTACGATTCACGTAAATCGTATGCTTTACATTGTATGACTAGATTTTTCAACTAAAAATATTTTATGATTTCAGTATTATAACTTTTGTTTCGTTTACATCATTTGATCTAGTGATCTTCTGCCTTTGATTCAAAAAGACTATGGAGGAAGAGTGAGCACCAGCAGACTAGAAAGAATGTCACCTCGTCAAGATAATAAAGGGAGGAGATCTAAGTAAGCGTGAGAACAACTAAGGCATCTCAGTTATATCAGTACCAGGAAATGTTTTCAGAAGAAGGTTGTTGAACTGAATGTAAGACTCAGTAGACGCTATTATTTTAAATCATCGGGCCGGATTTCATGACTGTTGATCGTGTACTGACCAGTTGGCTACATTGTAAATCAATAGCAAGCAACCATTTTGGTTGATCGCATCATAACACATCAACTTCCTTGACTATGAGAAAGCACTTGACAGAGTAGTTAGTAAAATGTTTTGTGTCTTGTAAAATTGTCACCAATATACGGAGTTATTGAGACGGACCACTTTGAAGAGTCATGAATGAAAGACTGCTGACAGACTTATTCCAAATGCCAGACAAGGTTGCTGAATCTCACCCTTTCTATTGCTTCTGCTAGTTGACTGGATTACACAAACCTCGACATCTCAGGCAATGCATAAGATACAGTGGACAGCTTAGATGCAGCTGGACGATCTAGACTTCTTAGATGACATAGCCGTTCTGTCTCATACTTAAAAATAAATGCAGGTAACGACGGTCAGTATAGCGTCAGCCTCTTCAGTAGTAGGCCGCAACATACACCAGAGGGCAACAGGCATAATAATGTAGTTCACCTGGGCCCCCATCCTATTTAGAAATTTCCAATAGGTTTTTTCACCATTCTCATAGCTCTTCAAAGATCTGAGTTGTTTATAATAGACCCTGAAATATATTGAATTCATTTTGTCTCATAAATCTTAGTATTTTTGTTAATTAGTAAACATCAGTGAAACAAGATAAGTAAATGTCACCGTTACCCTTTAGAACTGACTGCATAAAATAAAATCGTTGTCAAGTGAAGATATGAGTTCTGCTGTCATATAAATCAAATTATTCTCTTTAGTATTTCAGTTTGAAGATTACTTTAAATTTCAACAGTTAACTTGGGAGTGTGTAATAAATATTTGTATCAATTCATGATTTAAAGTTACTATCAACAAAACTATAAAGAAATAGGACTAAATTTCAACTGGTAATTTATGGAAATCATAAATTTCACTTGATATTCATATGTAAATGTCATAGGAATAAGTGAGTGTCTGAAACACGTGATTTATTTCACTTTTTAGAATGAATTACAATAATGCCAAAAATACAAACGGCTTTCCAAAAATTATGAAAGCAAAACAGTGGTTTGCTGAGTGTGTTCTAGGATGTCTTTGTAATATTGATTGTGATCGATTCGTAACTAATAGTATTGGAAATAACCAGTTGACACAATTTTAGGTACCTATTAATAATATAGATAAGCATGAATAAATGATAATATTCAGAAGAAATATCCTTAGCATGAGTAAGTTCTATCATCCTATCTAGGTGGTAAACGGTATCCGAAAGTAAAGAATTTGATGGTCGTTTGATTCTTGATGTTTATCTCAGCAAATTTGTGAAAGGTTACACTGTAGCTTTAGCCTTTGGTTGGTTTGCGTTTAGCCCGAAGGTACCTTGTGTACTAGGGGGGGATGTGAGTAGCAGTGTATGAAATTATCTGGAAGAAGAAAGGACAAGAGAAAAAGATGGGTCGACGACTCAGTAAGCACACAGAATGCACTTACATGCAATATACGAATAAATAGACAGCAACCAGATATAAAGTCAGCGTGAGATTAAGACAAACTGATAAACGAGACTAGGAGTTGATAGAGTTAGGTTTCGATTGCGTTACAACACATCCGACTATTCGCGCCCCTTCAGTAATTTACAATTTTATATGACCTTGTTTTATTGGCTAACACGTTCGCGCAAATGAAGTGCAAAATGGTATGAATGGAAGTTATTGAGGATTACAGCTAAAGAGACAGAGTTTTACTGCCACAGATATCAATGTACTTCTAAAAACTTTAGTAATTATCGAATAAATATTGACTATGATCACCACTAAATACTAATTACTAGCCAGTCACTGCCTAATTCCAGTTAGTTGGCCATTGGCTGTGAGCTTGTATGTCTCGGGATTTGAATGAAATCGTTTGTTTCAGGGCAGTAGGGTTTCCGGATACCAGCAGCCATCACATTACCAGACCGGAGATCAGTTAGTTGCAATATGGAGAGTAATAAGGGTATTAAGGATAAAATTCTAATGCTAATATGAATAAAACTTCAGAACTGAGTAATATATAGGTGAATTTAGTTTTTTAATTGGTAGTGAAGATTGTAAGAGAGGACCGTAGTGTAAGCAGGGGGGAGGAAACAGAGATGAGAGGCGAGATAGATTAAGTAAGTGATCTGAGGAGATGGCAATGATAACAACTAGCAGGTCTCAAGATATGCATCAGGGACAGCTTGTTCAAGAGGGGAGTGATAATCCGTATGTGAGTACGGGATTATCGAGTCTCTTCTTAAAGCAGTCCACTGAGGGGGCTGTGACCTCGGCTGGGAGAGCATTCCAAGTTGCGACGACTCGCAATGAGAAAAAGTGTGCAGGAATCTGAGTGTTCACTCTCTGATGTGCAATATTTTGAGGATTGCATCGAGGGGAGTGGTGGTGATGCATCACTAAGATGCTCACGTTGGGATGGTTTGGTGTACTTAATATGTTGTACGCCATAGTCAGATCACCTCTGATTCTCCTATATCTCAGTAGAAATAATCCCAAGGACTGGAGTCTATCGTTGTAAGGTTTATTTTTCAACCCTATCACGCATTTGGTTGCTCGTCTCTGCACTCGAACCAAGAGATTTATGTCTCTTGTAATCAGAGGGGGTGCGATGACATTGTAAACCTCCAGGTGTGGGCGCGCGTATGTCCTAAATGACGGTAAGAATAACTCTGGGGTGATAGCACCAAGTTGTCTTCGCATAAAGTGAAGGCTCTCCTCTTCGCCTGCAGCAAGCGTTCAGTGCCGCGCCTAACCCAGGTTCTTCTGTTCCCGCGTTTTTGGTGTGACTGAGGTACATTGCCTACGACAGCGTTTTGGATGATATCTCTCACTGTTAATAATAATAATAATAATAATAATAATAATAATAATTTATTCTCAAATAACTAAGTTACAAGAGTCACGCCAGTTTACAGGCTAGATCAAATTTTCACAAATGCTTTTACAATTACTGTAAAAGTTATAGCAGTTAAATTAAGTATAAGAGACAGTTTCTGATTGCATATTTACACCATATCACTGACAGAAACAGTATTATACAGCCACATTTTCAATATTAGAGTACAAATGAGGAAGGTGCACAATAGGTTCTATTGGCGATTGGCCGAGATCAATAGTGAATTTTTTGGGAAAGGTCATATGGAACGCGCCTGATACGAGCTGTGATCCAGACAGTCATGTACATTGGGTGCATGTTCCCTAGAGTTGCCAAGGATTTCCCACCGTGAATGGGGTTCTGAAAAGGAGAAGAGAGAGAGGAAAAGCAGCAGTGTGGCAGTGATCATCTACTGTCAGCCTCCACCACTCCCGTGGCCATGGGGCATGTAGGAAAACCTCTCTCATGCGTATATAGTTTGCTCTATTGTAGCAAAGTTAGGGCTCGATATCGTCCTCTGTGTTCCGTTTATGAACATGTTAAACAAGACTGTGCCATGGTCATTACTACCTATTGATGCGTGGACGTGAACATCCTCAACTGGGAGCTGGTCATTAGTTAACAGATAATCCAGGTTTGAGGACCTCCCTTCCTTAGTCCACCTAGTGGCACTGCATACGCGCTCAGTCAGCCCAGAGCTTCTAATGGCTGTACCAAGTTGTCTTTGGAACCAACCAGTGGGAGTTATACTCTGATTGCTGAGATTTAAAGATGGGGTATTGAAATCTCCAGTTAAGTGTATTTGATCAAACCCCAGGAGTGGAGGTTGCAGTATTACCTCAATCAGTTTGCTTCTGTGGTCCTTAGTACCCGAAGGAGGTCGGTAGATCCCTCCAATCAAGTATTTCGTGCTATTCGTGTGGAAACAAACCCAACATGATTCTGTCACCTCAGCTAGTTGGGTGTCGTATAGTCGCTCTGCTTTTAAGTGGCTATATATATATATCGCCACTCCACCTCCAGTTTGGTGTTCCCTATCGCTTCGGAAGTGTCATGTCTGGCAAGCTCGCTTATTCGTCTTCAATGTCAGGGGGTTGCCATGTTTCTGTTAGGATTATGATCTTCAGATCCATCTGAGAGCACATATTCCTGATTTCTAACAGCTTACCCCTCAGACAAGTTATTCAAACCGAATCGGCCAGTTCTTTGGGAACTGGACTCTGCAGGTTTTTTGTCTGCGCGGTTGGTTCAATCGTGTCTTGTGACAGGGGTTGTTGACCGAGGTTAAGTGTCAGTTTTGTGGCCTCCCTGCTGTTGTCTCACAGATCTAGGTCGGCTTTCGCAACACCTGATGTGGCTAGAAAGATCGTCCTTCGAAATGTACCAAGCTTGGAGTGCTTCACTCAGGTCTCCCCGGTTCCTAAATGTCACAGCCATCAGGCGTGGTCAGGGGTGACTCAGCATGAATCCGTAGTACTCTTTAGGTACTGTAGTGTCGCAGTTACAACGTACTACAGAAGTTGCATTCGAAAGCACAGTCACTGATTTTGACTGGTAATGAGCAGGCGAAACAGTCATGCATATGCGGTTTCTGGACGTTGGACTGTGTCGACTGAGCCTTGGAAGGTCTTTTTCTCCCATTCTTAACTAGCCTACTGGTCTTTTTAGGAATAGGAGTGGTGTCTTGCTTCCTCTGTAGTGTTTGCGTTGAGTGATCTAAAGTATGGACACTGAGAGAGATACTATCGACTGACGGTTTGAGTTTTTTAACAACCCGTTCGCACGATATTGGGATTTTCGACGCACTATCAACCCCGGGGTTTATGCCTCTACAGGTTTTTTAGTTGTTATAGTGTATGTACTAATGACCTTATTACTTAACATGATACCAGGGAGATTAGGAGGTGAAAACCGAGATAATTAAGATACAAGATAAACAAAAAAGGGATTTAGGAAAGAAGAATTCAGTAGTATATGATATAACTACAAGGAATAGAGTCTGAAAGTACTCCGAAATTGCAACTATACCTTTGACCGTAAACGGAAGTAAGTCAGCGAGGCCACGTCAAATTCGAAGCGCGTGCTTCTAATAAACCAGATCACTCCCTTAAATCATCTCAACCACAGTGACACAACCAATTTTCGTTAATCTGTTAGTAGACTATCTAACAACTTTGGCAGCAAATTGGAAGTAACAGCAGTCCATAGATAGGAACTTAATCTGATGTATCATAATCACCAAAACGTTTGGCCGTCACATGGTTTCGGATATCTATCTGGCATCCAACAACCAGCACTTCTATCGCGCTTATTTAGTTATCGATTGCTGCGTGACGGAAGATGATTATATAAACAGAGTAGCCACAACAAAGAGACAACCAAGCAACTACCCAGAAAACTTATCATACTATGTTCACAGACCTCCAATAAAACATCATGTATTAGTTCACCTGGAAAAAAAGATTTGATTAGATATCTTTCACGTAGGCATAATAACCAGTCTCACAGAATACTGAGATCTCTTCTAGCCCCGTGATTCATAATTGCAATTTCTTGATGTCGGCTTAAATAAGAACCATAATATCACACCAATTTATTTGGGCTTACCGATCGGTTATTTGTATACGAGATACTGCACTCCAACATATCTTCACTGTCGAAGGTTTCTGATGAAGCGATCTTTCAATAAATTTGTCGGGTTAGATGGTATCTTGAAACTTTAGAGGTGAAGTAATCCCCAAAATAAATAGCTTTATTAGTTTTCTACACTTACACTCATGCTTAACTGTAGACGACTGGTCATTTATTTGCATCAGATAGCTGTTTGGTACATTACATTGCATATTTCTTGAAATAACAAGTCAACCTCAATTGCATACGCTTCAATATTTTGATCTGTGATTAAAATATGGATGGGAACCCTGTCAGTGTAGAACTTCTAGTTGTGTTGGATTTTGGATCATAGTGTGAGGAGAGATTTCAGACTGAGGAAGTCCCTAATTTTGTGATTCAGTTACCCCAACGAAACAATTGTAGATTATTATAGTTATGGAGAAGCACTACGAATGTGTGTGACGATGATTGTTTGACTAAAAAGGAATTGTGGTATGTAGTATTGCTAGTAAAGCACCTCTTATATAACAGTTCGTTCGACTCATTTGTTTTCTGTCTCCAGACTATTTGCACACATTTTTGCTTGCAATTACCCGTCTAAATTAGAAGAATCTGCCTGAGTATATAAAGGCAGGGCTGATACATGCTACCTCTGAGGTCTGTCGAAGTACACCAAATTAATTTTGAACGTACCAATCGATGAAATGCAACTTCACATTAACCGTCAGCTATTTCCAGCAGCTTCCTTTGACAAGATAAAGGATATTTTGTGGGTTGAGATTTACATATATTTTCAAAAAATGCTTTCAAATAACAATCTTTATCATATTTTTCGAATGTGTTTAGAATAGTCACTTTGTTTTGACCTTGAGGAGATGTTCTTCTTTTTCGAAAAGTGTTATGGATTATAGCTCATCCATTAAGTTGTACATCAAATCTCCAATAACAGCAATATGCTTTGACCCTTCAAGAAGAGAAGTAATAACTGGGTTTGAGGGTATACTTGTTATTTATTAGCAGTTTTAGATGGTGGAATTGTCTACTGGGATGTTTCAATCGGTCGGAAAGTTAAAAACCTAAATATTCATACGTCATGGGTCACATCAATTTACTATTGGTATGCAATAAAACCATTTCTTTTAAACATCGACAACAGGGAACAAACAAAAACTGTTATAACAATGAGTCACGAGGGTATCGTTGCGTTTTGGCAAGGACTGTTATTAATCGATTGGTATAATGTGAGTCAAAACTCAAGATAAAAGTTCATTCTGCTAATTTAATTTAAGCAAAAGCGAAATATTTAAAAGTACAAAGAAATCTGTTTACGTTCAAAAGATTCGTAGGTGATTACTAAACCTCTACAACTAATCCTTAAGAGCGTACAATTGATAAGGGTCTGTTGAATCTCTATTATTCACTTTGCAGTTTTATATTTGATTCCCACCGAACAGTTATTTATCCTGGATTATTAGTATGGAAATTTAATAAGCGAAATGAATGTATTATCTAATATGTTATTATCCACTGTTTAATAGGCATGTTATCCCAATTACTGAAAAGTAAATATTAAGGACACATCCAATATCCGTCCAACGATGGTGTTGATCTTGATATAAAAGACCTAATTTAGGTCTTGCCTAACGGCTACATTCTCTTTTTTGAAAAGTTTTCCTCAAATAATTAGTGCGGTTGAAAGAATACTGAAATGAGTGGACTAAAAGTCACGTGCTTGCCTACATAATTTGTTGTGTCGTCAAAACTTCAAGCACTTGAGAATTCAAATCAATCGCATCACGCACGTAGAACGCTTCTTTGAATAATAGAATAGGTTTGGGATAAAGAGTTTTAATTTAGATAAGCTTTAAACTCTCTGGTTATTGTGTCTGCAAATATAAACAAGAACACTGAACTACAGGAGTTAAATATGCAAGACTGTGAACAAACTTACAGCATGGTTCATGGAACATCAAGGCGTGGATTCACCGGGAAAGGCACTTTGGAAACGAGAGACTCAAACAATGATACCCTTTTATTTTGGAGATATCATATTGTTATAACAACTTATTCAATAATACGTGTGTTCTCATAAATGTTCCCTGTATTTTACCCTTAGTTATACCGGCCAGTCTACACTTGTTTAATCGTCGATAATTTGAAAGAATTCATCTGTGGTACTGGCAACGGATTACTAATATTTACGATTGATAAACGTATGTTTGAGTTTTAGTACTGTTTTGAAATTCATAATTTATGAATTGAAGCAAAATGAGCAGAATTGTATTTTAAAGGTACACCGATTATTCAGTGAATTCTGTCAGAGCTTCCCATGTTTCTCAGAGGCTTTGTAAGGCATTGTTCTTCAGTTCAAAACAGTCTGTTTTCCATTTAATACTTTTCTACTTCTGAAGTGTCTGCAGAAATGAAAATGAATTCCAAGGTCATGACAGAATGATCGCGCATATATATTTATATATATATATATATAATGGACTGAATAAACCACAAATTCAAATCCTCGACATTTAGATCAAAATAAAATATTTTTCAATTCAAATACGATTGAACTATTATATATTCTCAGAAAAAATAATTACACTCACAGAGATTAAAGATGAAATATGTATGGCAGAAACTTCGTATATCTTTCAATCAATTCGACAAAAAACAGTTAACTGTTACCATGGTACAGTTTGAAAAAACTAGGCTCTAGTCAAAATAACTAAAAGATTTTAGTTACAAGTTGTTTTCTCCTGAAATTAATGTTTAATATGTTCATGCGCTGATATGTTCATCCAAACTCTGTCGAAAATTTCTGTAATGCATAAAGAGGTTGGTATTTAAAGATAAAATATTTTATAAAAATCTTCTAAATAAAAACACACAGCGCTCAATTCGCCGTAACAAATTAAGTATTGTAAACATATGGTTAGCGTTGTTAGCCTATCACTTCATTTTAAATTTTTTGATAGGGTTTTACATTTTCGAATAAAAACTACATTATATCAGGCTAAATACTGTCATTACTAACCTTTTTCAAAAGCAAAAGAGAACATCTCGATAAAGGATATCAAATGCTATATGTAACCCAGCTATATACCTAAACTTAAATTTTTTGGGCTCTTTTGCTGTTCACCAACAGCACATGATATATTTCAATTTCATCTTTTGTAATTAGGTTGAGGTGTGATAACAGTTGTAACAGGTCAACTGTGTTGCAAGTGATAACTTGTTTCTTTTTAAGTTTCTCCAGGAGACTGATTGAAAAAACAACATCATTTGAAAAGTCACCGAAAATCATGAACATTGAATAACTGCTTGGTATATTTCACTGTATATTACCAAAGCAAACGTCTGTTTTCTACGGAGAAGTATCGTTGGCCTTTAAATGAGTAAATGACGTATCATCGAGATTATTCTCACATCCAAAAACAGTTCTTGAGCTGCAGAGAAGCCGCTGGAGGAAAAATTCTTCCCAAGTTAAAAACTATTCATCATATGCTTATTTTTAGGCTGATTTTCTGTCGATTACATTCGAATTATTTGTCTTTACAGAAGAAGAGGCAAAATTAAAATAAGTGTGTGCTATTATTACAGAATTCAAGCAACTAAAATAATCTTATCTGGAAGTGTTGTAGTCATAGCCACATGAATAAACCTATTGTCTTTGATACATTTTCCCAGATTTTGTGTATAAACTCATATACATTCAAGTCCTTCAAGATAAAAAGTGATGCCGATTCTCACGTCATGAAAACAAAGTATTAAGTAGTATCAATCTTGAATTCGTTCTTGGATAATAGATATTGCCACTGAAATTTTGTCTTTTAATTAACAGATCGTTCAACAGGAAAATTTCTCAATGTTCACGACAAGAAATATCTGCAAGGTCATGTGAGCGTGGTACGGTGTTTAGTCAACCTTGAAAACCGTGTCTTCTCAGGAGGGTAGGTCAGCCAGTACTGAAGGTGGATTGAGATATATTTTGGTTGATATTTTTGACAAAGTGAACAGTCGAATTTAGGATGAAAGTTCGATAGAGTCCTAAATAACCTAAGTTTTATGATAAGTCGATAGTTAGGGGGAAAACTGTAAAATAGAAGTATTCTTACGATAAAAACTGATAGTGTTAAATGTCAGATTCCATTGTCAGAATTGGGTTTTACACTAAGCGAACGGACGACGAAATGCTGTAATATAAGGACTCATTCCAAGTGAGGACCAGTGTCAGAAAAGATTGCCTGCTTTCACCCTTTCTCCTCCTTTTTGTGGTTGACTGGATTATGAAGACTTCCAAATTTCAAGCAAGGCATCCAACGAACAGCTTCGATGTAGCTAGGTGATTTTCCCTTTGCAGATAACATGGCTCTTCTATCCCTACATAAATCAACGCAGACGACAATTGCTAGTGCTGCATGAGCCCCTTCAATAGTAGGCTTCAACATACATCAGAGAAAAGGCAAGATACCAAGGTACAACAAAGTGAGCACCAATCAAACCACACTTGATGGAGAAGCTTTGGAGCATGTGAAAATAGCTAGGGTATCTGATGCTGATATGAAAACAGGGATTGTCAAAATAAGGACAGTATTTCTACAAATAAAGTATATTTGGAAGTCAAAGCACCTATCAGTTAACACCCAAGTCAAAATTTTTAATACGGACGTCCCATAGCATGCAGCGGAAACGTGGAGAGTTTCAAAGGCGATAATCTACAAGCTATGGATATTTATTAACAGTCATTTAAATAAGATAATACGGATCCGCTGGCCAGCCACCATAATCAACAATCTAGTTTGAGATAGAACAAACCAGATTCCATCAGTGGAAGAAGCTTTGGAGGTGAATAGGACAGACATTCAAAAATTACTAAAAAGCGTTACAAGACAAACTTTGACTTTTAATCCTCTAAGTGAAACTAGAAGATTGAGACCAAAGAACAACTTCTGAGTATTATAGACAGCAATGAAAATAATGAATTACTGTTGGGAACAGCTGGAAAGAAGAGCGAAGAACAGAGTGGGTTAGAGATTTTTTATCGGCGGACTGTGCTGCACGAAGGGTAAGAGTAAGTAAGTAGGTATTTAAGTAAGTAAGTAAGTAAGTAAGTAAGTAAGTAAGTAAGTAAGTAAGTAAGTAAGTAAGTAAGTAGGTAAGTAAGTAAGTAAGTGAGTAAGTAAGTAAGTAAGTAAGTAATTAAGTAAGCAAGTAACTAAACAAGTAAATGTCACACCGTGGGCAATGAAGCACTGCAGTTGCTAATTGCTTGATAATTCTGAACTTTACATAACATAATAAATATTGCTTTTGTTACAGAACTGTCTTCTAACTTCAATAACTAATACTGAGGTTTCGCAAGGGAAAAGTGTCGCGTACTGTTGTAGAAACTGGAAATGTCAAACCATCTATTCAGCTTTGCATAATTATGTCATCTTTTGGTATTATTCACCAGGCTTCTACAAGTTTTATCAATAGAAAAAAATAAAACTGAAAATAGGTAGTAAATGATTTTACATAACAGATTTACTAAAAACATTTACCTAAATACTCGTTAAAAATATGCTATGAATCTAGCTTGATTCGCATATTTTCTAACATATTTCTAGGCATAGCAAATTAATAGATGAAGTATTAGAACTTTATCAGCTGAGGTGGTTAGGACATCTGTTACCCATGCCCGACCACCGACTGCCTAAATGAGCTATGTTTTGCGGTGTAGCAATAGGTTAAAAGAACGCTAGGGGCGGCCAAACCAAAACAGAAATACATGAAATCAGTGACAAGTAGAATGAGTCATATTGGTAAGTGTAGACTACCTGGTTGGGGTAGTAACTGATGGTTAAAGACCTTAAATGACATGGCTCAAAACCGTTTGCGATGGAGCAGGTGCATTCACTCTCTCAAATTCTAATCTTCTAAATTCCCTCATCACCTTTATCTTTCTCTTTTTAAGTTTATTTCACTGGATTATACTTCTTGAATAATATCTCCCAATTATGATCTCTCCTATTACTGCTATTCCTTTTACTACCTCTATTAAAATGGGATTTTAATTGAAAATTGCATCTCTGTGTTAATGTAGTATAGCAACCTGAACTGATGTACTTACGTGAGAAGTCCTACGTTGTAACTGACTGGCTAACATATTTTAACAAATTTTTTGATAGTTTAGAAACCAGTTATCTGCAACTATCAAGCCAACAAGAAATATCCAATTGAAATAAAATTGTGGTAGGAACCATTATGTATTGTAAAATTTCCCCACACATTCAAAATTTTACAAATTCACTTTGTCTGTACAACTTTGCCTTCGGCGTTCTGATCATCTAGTAATGTCCCACTATCCTGAGACTTTCAGTTAGTAAAAGTAAGATGTTTATGAATCGAAACATACAAAGAAACCAAAATTTGCTCTACACTTATAAATTCATCACATATGAATAAGAAACAAGGAGAGATTATAACAACTGGATTTGTACCTGTTGCTACATTTGAAGAGAAATGGAAACAATAAAAGTATGATTTAAGTCATATATTATTGTCCTCCTGAATATCTAAGCGGACGGATAAAGGCTCTCACTGTATAAAAATTTCCTATTTAATCCAGTATGTTTTGTAATGAAAACAAAATCTTTTCAAGTTTGGAAAGATGTATTAATGAGTATGAATTTTAAACAAATAGAAATAATAGGACAATGCAATATATATATCAAGATAACCGACCATAGGGAAATAAATACACTATCGACTAGTAATAATTACCATTCTCTCCGAAAAAGTTGAAGACTACTGAGATTCTGTAGTTTAGTAAATGTAACTTTGATGTAGAAAATAGGTTGATAGCTAGTAAGTGTTTCATTATGAACATCAACACTAAATTCAAGATACATTCAACAAACAAGTCATTGATATGATGAAATATATATACTATATTAAATTACTTTCTAATATCAAAAAATAGCAACCACTACACTCTTAATTGTTGTCAGAAATACCAATTTATTCTAAAACATTAAGGGAATTGTTTTAGTCGCTGGAAAAGTCTATACGAACAGATCTTTATCATCAATATTTTGTTAAAGTATCAACATATAAATCTATTTCAAATTTTTCATGCATTTAGAAACTGGTTTGATTTATTTCCACTATATGTTATATATTAAATAATTAATTTATGTGTTTAACATTCAAAATGAATTAAGAAACTATTTTTTACTTAACCTTTATTAAATAAGAAAATTCATTTATTTGACATTTTACTTGATTTTAATCTGTAAAAAAATCAAGATTTGATGGTCAGATCATCGTTTATGATACATGTGGTAAATTAGAACCAACAACTAGAATTTTACTGAAGATTCCCAGAGCGCATGATGGAATTATATCTTCTTTAGTGAAAGCCCATAATGTACCTAGTCATCAAAAGTTGGTGATTAGTGGGGGTTTTGACAGACAAGTAAAAATTTGGAACGATGAAGGACAGTTGATGCACATAGTTGAAAATTTCAGTAATGTTGTAATTAGTAAGTTATATTCTTTTTTTAAAATTTAAAAATACAATATATTTTCGCACACACAATATTGTCACACTTTACAAGTGTATCTAATCTTCGCTGTTTCGATAAACGTTAAGTATCTTGTTTGTAGATAGTTCGGTATCATATTAAAATTTTCCAAAAATTAGTTTTCGAAAATAAACAAGATTCCTCATTCTTACCGTTTTATAAATTAGTGATTAGAATGGCTTAATCCATCTCGCAGAGTATACTGAAGCTGTTTTTATATGTTATTCAGTGTGCTTATTTATATTGTGTAGAGAGATGTTACTTATCTCGGAATAAAGTTATGTAGATCATAGGTCGAAGTTTATATTGTTAACATTTGTATAATCTAGGAATTAGATTACTGGATAAGAAATATACTCCTTAACATTGCAGCAATAATTTTTTTGTTTGCTCGGTATGAACAGTTCGACAAATTTATCTGAAGCTTCTTTTAAGGGATCTCAAATTATCGATAATTTGAATGTATTGTGTTTTCTGTTTTTGGATGATTTGGTGATGACGCTTTCATTACCGTTACAAACAATATCGTTATCACTAAACTAATGTGGAAGTAAACATCCTTAGCGCAGTGTATAAACGTAATCAAAGGTTCACCATCAAATCATCCAGCTCATAAAACACCCGAAAGCATCTATCATCTCCATCATTTACAGAAATGTTATTCTGATATTTTAGAACGTAGCTAGATTTCTAACGAAGTTACAAAGAATTGTAAAAGATATATTCTTTATTTTGTTCAATACGATTAAGATGAAAACGTACTTGTCATAAGTTATTTTGTTTTCAAAACAAGCTTAACATCCGTTTAATTTAGTATGATTACATCATACATGATATAATTACAGTTGTGAATTGCTTTGAGAATGAAAAAAAATTCCATGTAATAAAGAATTATCAACTTCTTACAAGATGTTATTATACAAAACTTTTTTATTGTTTAAATAGTATTTATTATTTGGTAGATTTCTTCAATGTTTAATTTTAACTAACTATAGGTATAGCCCATATCCCTACTACTGATACATTTTGGGTCACATCTGGAGGTTGTCAAGCTAAAATATTTGATGTACAAACAGGTGAAGACGTGAGTGCAATATATAATAATTAAGATTTATATTTTATTATATATTATTTTATTATATATATTATATTATATATATTATATATATATATATTATATATATATTATTTTATTATATATTTTTATTTAACCATGTTATATGTGATTGCACTTTATTATTATTACTTTCATGAACTTATTTAATAGTTAAAACTACTGTTGTTGCAACAAAAACTAATGATTCGATACTATATGAACTAACTAATGTAATATAGTTCAATATTATTGAGTATAAGTATTGGTTTCAAAGAAACTATAAATTGAAATTTTAAAAGTACGAGATATTATGGCAGATAATTGTTTTCCAATAAAACCAGATGCAGACAATTTTATTGTAAAAAAAAATATGGTGGAGTTAGTAAGTAGTAGAAAAGAAAAAGATTTCTTACTTATATTTGAAGTTCAATTACTTGAAATACGATTACTTTGTTTAGCTTATACATAAGAAGTTATTGTATCGCTGACTGAATGAACACAAATCATTATACAGTACAGTAAAATCACCGACTTAGATCAATCATTTTGAGGCTATCTTTGTTAAAATGCATTTGTTAAATGTACACTGATTGAATAAAAGGTTTTCATGAAAAAAGCCGCTATCACTTAACATTTACGCCAGAGAAATAAATGAGATAAACATCAACTTTAATCTTATGTGTTAAGCATTTTTATAACTGATTATACTTAAACAAATAAATTTGAGCTTTACAACTAATAGTTTCACTCTTGCAAGCCTTAAAATACATAAAAAAAAACATAAAATAAAGTGAGAAGAATCAAATATAAAATGTTTAAATGATCTCTGGCTTATTGTAAACAGTTAAGTGAATTAAACCATTCGCATCTCTAAAAACTTGTCAAGATGACAATAGAAGAGTTATGATTTTGTTATTTTACCCCAAAAATATACCACACTTTTTGGGTGAAATATCTGATAAATCGATAATTTACAGTCTCCAAATTTAGTAGTTTGACAGTGTTCACAAGTCAAGACAGCATAAACTGAAGATCAATTTTTTTATTACAGATTAAATTTAAGTTTAACAGACTTTATGGAAAAGAGGTACATTTGGTCAAGTTACTTGCTAAACGTAATTCCTTTTTAACCCTGAATCGATAAGAGTGATCGGGGTCACCCTAATCATGTGACAGTTTCATTGTTTTACAGAAACAACTAAATATTACACTTAAATAACAAACAGTAACCAATATTTTTGAAAGAATGACATCTTGAACGCCGCAAATAAAAAGTTAAGAAATAAAACATTCACTGACATCAATATATAAGACGTTAAGTTACACTATTCAGGAGACAACCTTGTCTCAATGCTATCATCAGAAGGTCACAAACTTAGAGATCATCTTCTTTCTGTTATCATAATAAGATTTAAACTCATTTCTGAGTTCCTAACTTCTAACATAAAGCATTACAGTTAGTTAAACTGTTTTTTGAAAGTCACATAGTATAAAAATCTGCGAGTTTTGTTCGTCATAATAATTCTTACAAAAAGTGTTACATTTTTGTAGCCACTCGTAAAAACATAATGGATCTTTATCAACCTCAGTGTTATTTGATACCTCTAAAGTTCGTTATACAATTTCGTATTCATGCCTTTTTTCAAAATTTGTCACTTTATTTAAATAGTAGTTTATTAAAATTGGTGATGATATCAACTTTACACTCAGTTACATGTGGAAATGATCTATTTTGATGATTATGCCTGCTAGTTTAACAATATTATTCTTGTTTTATTAGGTAACAGAATATGTCAATACATTTATGAATCAGGAGAAACGTCCCTATCAGTTACGTCTGTTAACTTTTTGTCCAGACTTAAATATGATAGTTGGTAAGTTATTACCACTAAATATTACAGAAATTATTTTTGATTAAGTTACTTCAAAGCGATGGCCCCTCCTTGAGTTGTTGGAACTAGTTGAGTGTTTTGGATGGAAAACAAAATCCTTTTTTTTTACATCTACCAATCTTTGACTAACAATGTGTTTACTAGTTATTCGGAATTATTTTTGTACACAAATAGATGAATTTCAGTTTTTCAACAGTTTGAGAAGTTACCTTCAGTTATTCAAAACATTTATGACATTTATGTTCGTTGCAAAATATAGTAAGCACAATTTCAAAGTAATATTCTATATACTACTTAAAGTAAATACTACTACATTAACCTGTTTCTAGCAAGAAATAATTAACCGATGATTTTCCTCTCATTTATCTAAATGGTAATTAAGAGAAACTTAACTTATGACACATTCAATTTTTGTTTAATTTCTATTTTTTTCTCTAATGCACTTCAACGGTTCATTCATTTAAAATCATATTCCATCAGTCTTGTAGGTATTTTATTTACGGATCGTAATAGAGACCTCCAAATTTCTATATAACCTTTATTTATTTACAACTAATGACTGATAGTCATTGTTCAATTTTATGTTGAATATTCTTTTCAAGGTTCAACAAATCGTCAGCATTTAATAATCTGGAAGTACAACAGCGAGTCAAGTGTATTAACACTTAAAACAGAAAGTGGGATTCAGTGTTTGTGTGCAAGTAAATTACTTTTCAGTATTTTTAGCATTTAGGCGTTCATAAATACAGATGTTGTTATATGCTTATAATAATTTTAGTCTGCTAGGAATAAATATTAAATCTAAAGTTAAAGAATAGAAATGCTTTAATCAACAGAGAATAAAAATTTATTATTACACTTAGGTTTATCTACCAAGCTTTAGTTTTGTATGAAATGTACATTGTCTTGAATTTAATATTCGTTGTGTTACCAAACTATATCATAACAAGAAACTAAATGCTTTAAGCTTTCTTTATCTATTTATTTTAAAGTTTTATCTTTGAATTTATTGAATAAACTTAGAAACACTTGATCGTTGATTTTAAGCTTTATTAAACTGTAAACAACCAAAATCTATTGCTACATAAGTTGAATTTTCTATGGGCACATTTTTGCTATCCTATATATATCATAATAAAAGCAGGTTAGTTTCTGAACTCACAAGTACCTTTATAAAGTTTTTACATATTAGTCACTTATATATCACATGCTTCAAGTTTAAAAGTAAATTTTCAAGTCTTTGTAATGCATCTTCTAAAATTTAGGAAATTTTTCATGTAAAATTGAAAGCAGAACTGTTTAATTTTCAATTAAAAGCATTATATCTGATCAATAATTTAATTATCAACTGTAAATTATTAAAGTAAATAATTAGCATAGTTTCTTTCAAAAGATAAGTTTAAGTAATTATAATTCTATTTGATGACTCATAGTTTTGTTTATAATTATTTTTGTTTTGCATTTAAGGTAGCAAACCGCCCTTTTCAATATTTTCTTCTGGGTCTGACAATCATCTTTCTAGATGGGAACGTAAAGGTCAAACCCATTTCTCTTATGTGTACGTAATTTTTGTTGTTGTTGCTGTTACGTTTTTGTCAGTAATGTGTTGAATAATTTTTTGTGAAGTTAAATAAAAATGTGATGTGTTTTTTTTTAATTTCTGCCAATGTAACACCTATAACTTGGTACTTATAAATGAAGGTTCAAGAGTTAAACTCTTGTTCTAATTAATATAAACAATATACTCAAGAAATATGTTTTTTTATATATGCCAGCAACTTGTATTCACCTTCAATCATTAACTATGTTTACGTAGGTCATATATAAATTATATAATACCACTGTTTTTGTAAGGTATCAAATATTTTGAATATCCTGACAGTATTCAATTTATTAGTAGCTGTAAATTATTTCAAATGTTTTGAAATCTATTTTTAAACAGATTTTGTTGAATAATTTGTTTATTCACTTTAATATGAGTGTCATTGTCATGCTTCGACATGATAATTTCGAATCAATTAAGCAATGAGTAAGTTGTTAGTAATGAAAATGACATTTTGTAAAATTTCAATAAGTATAAAATTAAGTTTCTGACGTCCTACAACTTATCGTAAAGCTCATCTTCAGAGAATAACCAATGAAACACAAGTTTAAATATGAATTAAGTTTAAGTTATACATTAGGATTCAAAAATGTAGTTAGGGTCTTCCTTTCAAATCAATAGCAGTTATAAAATGATAATTATTTGTGATCCTTTTGCTTAGGATCAACGGTTAGAGTCGGGAAAATTATTTAGCTACAAAGAAACTCTTGACCAAGTATTGAAACACATCAAGTACTTTAATACACGATAGGTTTCGAGAGAAGGCATTTCTGATAATTTAGTTTAGGTGCCATGTCGTATTAACTATTAGTTTGTGTGAAAGAGATTTCATCAATTTAAAACATTTTCGGAATTTATTATTATCAATTTCCAATTAGTTAATGATTTCATACTGTCGTGCACTGTGCTTTCAAGTTCCAGCGAAAATCCACTAGGTGTTATTGTAACTCTGTTGTCTCACTGAAGGCCGTCAGCATAATATTCCTTTACCGAATTTTTAATGTGGTAGAGTAGTGTTTAAAAATATTTGTATGTTTGTTAATAATGTAAATTAAGAACAGGGTAATATTTGCAGTTATATGGATAAGTGTTCCATATTGAATAGATCCTAAGGCCCACTTTTATACACGATCAGGTTTTATCTACTCTCCTTTCCCTATTATTGAGAAAAGCTATTTTTGATTTGCTGGTTGCTAAAAACTACCTTAACTATTACCGTCGATTGAATTTGAGATTTTCTGATTCTACAGGGTTTCTTGAAGATCATTTTGCAGGGCTTACATGTTCACTGATCCTATTTTTTCGAAATCCCCTAAACTGATTCACTAAGACCCAAATTCATTTACATAGTTTAGACTGACAGTTCAATTTTGTTAACTGAGTTGAGATCAAATTGACTGTACCTGTAAGTTTTGGTATAACATTTGAAATATGTATTTTGGCTATATTACTCGGCACAAATAACAACTTTAAAGACAGTCGTGTTTTGAACTTAGAATTTTTCTAAAGTCTAATAAAAAGAACAAGAAACCTTCCTCACCTAAAGAATGGATACATTTATCATTCTCATGATACACATCATTAAACCTACGGATCTTATTAGTCATGAATAATTTACACCACCAAGTTATCTTTACTTATCAGTATTATCAAGATTATTATCCTTATGATGATAGTTTTAACTTTGTATTTTAGTCAAGAGGAAGAAATGATACACGAGTCAATTGATGAAAAATTATTAGAATGGTTACATGAGAAATTACGTACACAAGCTATTCGAGCCAAAGAAATTGAGAAATTAAGAGCATCCTTGCCGAAAACTTTATTATTACTGAATAAAAGTAATATTTATTCATCGAAACGATCAGTGACTGCTTACACATATTCTCGTAATCAATCACCAGTTAAAATGAAATCAAGACAGAATACAATGGTTATGATAAACAATCAATATTCAATTCCTGATAATACGAAAGAATTAGTACTTAACAAGGTAGTAAAATTTATAATTATTTTACTTTAGAAATTTGTTTCGTAAAAGTACTTTTCGTGTATATATATTTAAATATTAATACTTTATAATAATGGCATTAATAACAGCAATAAAAGTGATATATAAAAAAGAAAATACTCGAACAGTGAAAAATAACCAGTTTTCGTCAGTACAACAAATATTCTAGGTCATTTATATATTCAATCACCGAAATTGATCACGTGTTCAATTATCAATTATTCTTTGAATAGCCACAGATACTTACCTACTCTTAGTAGATCATTACTAATGAGTTAGGTAAATTTGTAGTTTTTCTACATTCAACTAAAGGACTTTTTTGGAATGTCAATACGGTTTGAAAAAGGGAGTCGAAAATTGTCTGATGAAAATATCAGTAATTATTCTTCAAATGAACAAATATAGTGAATTCATTTCTGTGATCTGTTGAATATCACCGTAACAAAAGTAAACTTATCAATCTTACAATAAGGGCAAAAACTTTAATGCATTTTTAATGACAATACTACTCAAATTTATACACTGTAGATATGAGTGTGACAGGAAAATTATGTTTCAAATGAGCACTTTGAGGGAATTCTATTACAAACGTAAGACTAATGTGTTATTTTTACTGTATAAAACAAGGTTTGTCTTTACTGGTAGAGCCCTTAAAAATTTTTTAAACCCGGTTGTCAGTACTGTTTTTAAAAGGATCAGATTTGCTGTATTATGTCTTTCGCCAACCAATCCTCAGATGACTACTCTATACTCAAAAGATGGCCTAATACTAACTCGCTCAACCGATGAGGCAGAACAAAGACCAGTTACCACTAGTTACAGATTTCTCTCGTATTATATTTCAGACATTCCTTCATATATACAAAAAACCAGACCATATCGTGCCAGTCAATGGAAATTAACAATTATGCATGAGTAAGCCAAAGGTGGCTGTCAATCGGCGAGATTGTAAATAACAAATTATCAATAAATTAAAAACGATACCTAGTATGATAATAATTTATGAATCAATATAAAGCTTAAAATTAAGATAATACATAAATAGTAGATAGTTTAGGTAATTATTAGTTACACAATTAGATTATATATATCAATAGTCCATAAATTAGTTTCATAGACTACTATTTACTTTAGTCTCCACTCGAATACAACACAGTGATTTAAATTTAAATCATTTATGAATGCCAAAACAAAAATTCTGTCTCATCATTTTATAAACAAAGGGGTTAAATCTAGTTCTTCTAACATTTTAGACTATTAGTGATTTTTCGATACAGGAATCTATTTTTAAGTAACACCTAACCTCTATACTACGTTCACTAAAATTTCATCTAAGTTATGGATTTTTGTTTAGACTATAAAATAAGTAGTTAGTTAGAAAATAATTACTAACGAAAGTTATTAAAAAACGGACGTAGTTTACTAGACTGGACACAGCGCTTGCTGTACAAGATAAAAAAATGCGGAGACAGAACTTATTCTTTCAATCTATTCCTTCCTATACAAGAGTTAGATATCCATATTAAGTATTATAGGAAAAAAACTAGTTTTCCAGCTCAGGGAAAAACACGAAACACTTTCAGATAAGTGTTTTAGTCCTCTCATTTCTACCCCAAATGGTTTATATATTTAACAATGAATTCTGTTTGTAGTAAATTTATCGTACGAATATCTTAGTTTATGTGTAAACGTACAATTGTAAGTATAGTCACTTGGAAATAGTTAGTTATGTTTTATTTATTCAGTAAGTCAACAGTTTGCATATCAAGTTAATAACTCAGTAAATGCGGGTAATCAGTTTTCATTTTTCTCAAAATTTAACAAATCTAAGGTTATCAACTTAATATGAAACTCATTGTATTCCCATAGAGATATTATTACCTAAATGATTAACTTATCTTGAAACTTTCTTGACAGTTAAATATGCTTCTGGCTTAAATTATTCAAATAAAACTGACCTCTCTTCGAAATTTTGTGTAATTCCTGCAACCATCTAACTACAATAATTAGGTTTCTACTGTAAAATAACTGTTAGTATTATGAATGATGACAATGTACAATTATTAGGAGTCGTGTAATTAAACACTTAAACTGCTTTAAAAATACAGTAATCCTAAATGAATATTAAAAAGTAAAAATTTAGAAAATTTACTGTAAATAAAAAGGGATAAAAAATGGCTAATATATTACATTCATCATTTAAGTTCTTCAAACTTTCTTTACATTCTCTACTTGAAATATGCTTACCTAGTAAATTTATTCATTAATTATATTTTTCACTTCTCTGAAATAACAACCCCATAAAGAAGTAAACAAAAGTTGTGTCTTCTTATTGCAAAAGTATCGAAGCTTTTCATTATTCACCAACAGAGTATAAAATTTGTATTACTAATTGATAAAAATTTATGAGAAATACCAAGCTAATTGTCTAAAGGATTTTAAACGCCTGAAATAATTAAAATTTATACAGGTTAGTTACCTGACTAACTGGTGTAAATGATTCGACCAACAGGTACCATAAAAAGCATCCCAGTTCGTGGTTAACATCGCGAAATAACTTTGTGAGGAGAAACATTGAAAAAACAATGTTATTGAACAGCTATTTTGTCTTATTATAGGACATTTCAAAGCTCGATATTCAGATCATCCAGTTGGTATTCAGCTGTTTGAAGTTAAGACGTCAGTAACAAGGTTTCAAACCTTTGAATTCGATCTACACTAAGCTGTAGATATACAATACTAATGGTTTTCGTAGTGGAGCAAAACGCTGTTTAATTCTTCTTAATTTTCAACAGTTGCTTAAATATAGCCATTTTGTGATGTACGCAGTAGCAGATCAAACAATCTTGACAAAACTACTAAACCAAGTTGCAGATGATGTTAGAAACCATTTGTATAGTAGTGTATAAATCAATCAATCAACTTATGATTTTTGCAAACGTTTTCTAGTTATGATGTGCACAATAGTTAGTAGGCGTAAATTGGGTATACAGTATAACTTCAAGAAACAAAAGACATCAATTATATATTCCACGTGTAGTATTGAATAGCATAACTTTAAAAATTTTAAATTGATATTTTAGACACAGATTATTTCCTCTCAGTAAAATATCTGACAGAATAATTTGACATATTACTGTAACCAAACCAAAAGATTAAATAACAAGCGAATATCTTATCCAAGAATTTTTTTTCGGTTAAGGAAAGTCAGCAACTTTTCTATCTTTACATCAAATCATCTTAGCCTGGACTGTCGCTGGTTTATTTCATAAACTTGTCAAGTCTTTGAGAATCCAAGACATTTCCTTGTTTTGATCAAATCAACAAATTAAACCTGATTACTGCTGCCTTCAAATAACTTTGCTTATTTTAAGAATTTTAAGCGAACTTACTGAGACAAACATAAACATTATAATTTTTAACTTTGATTAATCCAAAGAGTTCAACTTGTTGATAAAAAGTTTTATTTCATTTCTAGGCACGGGCGAAAAATTTTCTTCGTATGATTTATGTAGATGAACTGGATTATGTAGTTGCAGCCTGTGAAGATGGAGTAGTTTGTAAGTTATTATCTACTGTTAGTTAAATGAATTATTATTGTTTAATATTAAACTAATCATTTTATATTTTAAAAACAAGAGCATCTAGCTGAGAAAAATAAACTGATAATTAAACGGAAGTATGATAGCGAAACTTTTGCCTATTGAGCAGATTCAGCTTGTAAAAATCTGAGTGACGTAGAAATTGATCTCCTCTAATCACCCATAAAAATCCTTCATGATTATTTTCAAGTTATATTTTGTACATTATTGTACAAATATTATTATTGTTTTATTATGATTTTAAAGTCATTCGTAAAACTATAAAAACTTTAATTCATAAATGCCGTAAGGAAACATGTTTCTGAATTGCATTAGTAATAGTAAAAGCTATTTCACATAACATAAGAAACGTTATTAATGTAGAAATCAAATGTGGTAAATATATATAACGCCATTTTTTTGATTAATTGTTATGTTATTGGTTAACATAACAGAATTTACAAAAGAATGCTACTATGAATGACAGTTGTATTAAGATGCACATCTTCAAATAAACAGTACTGGATTCAACGAGTTGAATAGTTTCATTGCAGATATTTTGATATCGTTCTGGTCAATATTATCAGCTTCTTCAGCAAGCAAAAGTGTCATAGACGGTAGGATGGACATAATTTAGATTCACAAACTTATTTTTAAGCATACCTAGTAATAATAATAATAATTTTGTCGTGAATTACAATAAAACTGCTTCGAATGAACCAACCATTCTAGACAGTAATGTATATTACTGAAACTACTTAGCTGAGCTGTTAATACTTTTAATTGTTTTACACACAAATCTATTAAGAAAATGATTATTATGACAAAAATAATATAAGAATGTAATTGTCAAACATTTAAACTTAATTTGGTTCAGATAGCATTTATGCTTTATTGGAAATTTTCTGATAGGTACATATTTGATAAATTAGATTGTAGGTTATCATTAGATTTCATATTTACTATAAAAATCTCTCTTTTAATCTAGTACGAAAGATGACACGCCTTTATTTTACATTGTAATCTAAGCTATTCACAAAGATAGTGTTAGTTGAATTTTGTTTCCCTAAAATGGATTATTTTTGTCAACTAAATTTACATTTTAGTAAACCTTGAAGACTCTGATGAAAATAAACAAGATATCCGGATATTGATCCAACAATAATTATTATTCATCAGGATAATATTAAACTCAAATCAAGTGTAATTATTATCAGGTTTATAATGATGTTTCAAATGTTGACTGTAATATATTAAATTGTTGAATACTTGTTGGATCACATATTATATATTTCCATTCATTCATAAACTAGATATTGCCTGTTATAACACCAAACGATAATTATTTCGATTTTAAGAAGTACTTAAGTACTTGATGGATGCTTCAATGATATGACAAACTAAGTTATTATGAAAAATTGATGACTGGCTAATATCTAATACAGATCATGTTGTTGGTAATGCTGACAATAATAATAATTCATAACTTCCAGCTATTCCTGATAGTTTTGGTTTACGTTAAATTAGAGAATCATATCGATAGATTGAATAGTGAAGAAACTTGAGACAGAAGCTTCGATATTACTGATTTCATATCATAACAGTTTATTCACGATACCAAACGCTATCCAGAATTTACAATTCCGTAACAATTAAAAAATTCTTAAAAGTTAACATAAAACACACAGTAAAACTATCTGCTCTAAACAATAACGTATATTGTTAACCCTATCTTAGAGGCATAGAAATGGAAGATATGCTACATACGTTAATAATAGACGGTAAACACAGTTTACTTAGCTAAATTCAAAATTCTCTATTTCCTATTTATATACTTTGACAAAATATCATACTATAAATCTTTCGGATAATCTGACATTGTATGTATTCACATTTGCAATTCTTATTGATGAATCGATGCATTACCCATTTCTTACATTACTATGGCTTCCATTAAAAGATCATGTATGTCAGTCTAATAAATTAAACTAACACATTAAACAATAACTTACTTAAAACTTAATTGTTCATTCGAATTTTAGATGTTCTTGGTTATGATTTACAAGCAACTAAAAAATTCTTAACTGATGCATTATATAACAATGAAAATGAATTAAGGAGTAATTTTAGAACACCCATTGAAATGATATCACGAAATTATGTTACAAAAGATTTCATGGAAATAATTTTAAATTCACCAAAATTATTAAAGGTATTCAATAAATTAAGAGGAATTGATGAACAAACGGAAAATTTAGAAATGAATAGTTGTACAAATGAAAATAAATGTCCTGAAATATATCTACAGACAAATCCTTTGATAACAATAGCTGAAGATAAACAGGTAATATTAAAATAATAAATATTATGTTTATAAGATTCAGATTATATTTTTGGTTATCTTGATGTCACACAGTGAAATTCATCGAGTGTGATATAAATTGTTTTATTGAAAACTATCCTATTTAAAGTGCTGAATTATGTATTATATATGGACAAATATGACAATGTTACATAATGTTATATCCATATGAAGACTAAAGTAAATTGTAACTTAAGAACCCAGTTTATGGATTATGGCTATATGAAGTCTAGGTATATAATTTACCAAGTAACTAGATTATTGCCTGCATATATTCCTTGTATCCTGAGCTGTTGAATAATTCATTATCTATAGTTGTATGATGTATTATTTTTATTCTCTTGAGAATTTATCCACAATCTCTCCTACTCACAACCACCTTTTTAACTCATTCATGTTTAGTTCGTAATTTTCATTGAATGGTGCAATGTGATCTGGTTGTGTGTACATAAAGGAATGCCTGAAATATAATAACGAGGAAATCTTGAACTGGTGTTAATTACTCCTTTTTTCTTGGTCTTCAGTTAGGGCAAGTTAGTATTGGACTGTCGTTCGAGTACAGAGTAGTCAAGTCTTTCATTTTTGTTGTATACTGGTTATTGAAAGGTCAACTGCAGATTGGTTCATGTAAAGAACACATAAAAACATAAAAATTTCTGTTAAAAACACAAAAACAACTACTGCAAGCATTAAAGTCACTTGTCGTTTACTGACTATGCTTATATTAATTATTCTTTTGCATTAAAAACTATCTCATTCAATACTTCGATTTAGTATGTACTTATTGTACACGTAATTTTTAACTAAACTAGTTACTTATTTTATTTATTTATTTAACAATTGTTATAAATAATTTGCTAAAACATAGATAATCAGATTATTCATTTCCAGACTTTAGAATCTGTTAGTCGTCATTTATTCGGAATGAAATGTCGTTCTGTATTAATTGAACACAAAGATTCAGTTACGTGTCTTTTATACATAAATTATAAAATGGATCCCATTCATCAGTGCATTCTTGTAAGTTATTTTAATGTTTTAATTAAAATTTTACGGACAGTTCACTTTTGAAACGTAAGACGGATAGATTTAAAAATAAAATAATAAGTGAAACTAATTGATTACACAAAAGTTCACTCAATAAAATTTAAGCAACCGATTTTATCCCATTGTACTTCTTTCAAAACTACAATCCCTATAAATATTTAATAACTGTTCAAGACTATTCTGGAGAAATGACAGTTTAAACCAGTCAACTAGAGTTCATTAAAAGCATGCTATTCTTATATTTTGAAAATAATTTGTCAAACTTTAAAAACTTGCATACAACATATTGATTTACTCCATATATCGTTATAAATTGCTTACTAATTGGTTACATAAACAATAAAACAATTTTCGTTTGGCTTTTCGACATATACAGACGAATAGTAATTAAGTTTTATTGTGTGCATAACTGATCTTTTATTTATGAAATAATATAGTCATTTTAATATCTTTAAAAAATTATTACTAGAAGATGAGTTTACAAAAATAGTTATCGATCAAATGAATTGTCATTCGACCATAAGTACATTTTCAAAATCATACGGTTTTTCTACTCAAAATATATGAGTTTAATATTTTGCTTTGATTTGTGTTATATGTATCTGTTTCGTATATTGATTTATTTTAAGGGAATAGTAGTTGAATTTGTTTGTTTGCAAGAAACACTTCTGATTATTTTTTTTAAAATTGTAAATTGAGTTATCGGTCTAGTGTGAACGTTAATGAAATGGTGCAAACATACCCAGCTGACATTCTCAATATGAGAAAACTCAGCTTAAAATGTATTAATATTAAAAGAAATTATTTGAAAGAATAGAGTTTGTTATTTCATATGCGTTCAACACAAAGTTTTCTAGTCTTTCTACATATTACACAAATCAAATATAAGCTATATATTTCTTTAAAGATATAAAATAGTGTAAATAACAGTTCAGTCACTTCTTCACTGTTACCCCCAGATATTTTTCAACTGTAGAAATGCAGCTCTTGCTTTGCCAATCCGCACCCTCACATCTGCATCCGATCCACCTTTCTCGTCGATGATGCTGCCCAGATATGTAAAGGTGTTGACGTCCTCTAAGGCATCTCCATCAAGAGTGATTTGGTTGGTGCATGTTATGTTGCATCGAAGAATTTCGCTTTTTCCTTTATCTATGTTGAGACCAACTGCTGCAGAGGCTGCCGCTACACTGGTCGTCTTCTCTTGCATTTGTTGTTGCTTGTGCGATAGAAGAGCCAGGTCATCTACGAAGTTCAGATCGGCCAGCTGCGTCCTAGCTGTCCATTGGATACCGTGCTTCCCTCCAGATATTGACGTCTTCATAATCCAGTCGATCACCAGGAGAAAGAAAAAAGGGTGAGAGTAAACAACCTCGCCTGACACCGGTCTTCACCTCGAAAGAGTCTGTTAGCTGTCCTTCGTGTAAGATTTTGCAGTTTAATCCATCATAAGAATTCCGTATGATGTTAACTATTTTCTCAGGTATACCGTAGTGTCGAGCAAGACTCAATAGCGTTTTCCTAGCCACGCTATCGAATGCTTTCTCGTAGTCGATGAAGTTGATGTAGAGTGGTGAGTTCCATTCAATCGATTGTTCCACAATGATCCGTAATGTTGCGAATCGGTCAGTACACGATCGATCCTTACGAAATCCAGTATGTTGGTCTCGAAATTTGGCGTTTACGAAGTCCTTCATTCGGTTTGACAGTACCCTGTTGAAGACCTTGTCTGGCATTGAAAGAAGAGTGATGCCTTTTTAGTTCTCACACTTGCTGAGATCGCCTTTCTTTGATATTTTGATCAGATATCCTTCTTTCCAATCTGATGGTACCTGTTCCTCATCCTAAATCCTGTAGGAGAGAATGTGAAATATTTTTGCAGTTGCTTCAGCGTCTGCTTTGATTGCCTCTTCTGAAATATTGTCTGATCCTGCTGACTTGCCGTTCTTGATTTTTCTAATGGCCATGCCGATCTCTTCAATATTGGGTGCGCCAACGTCGATTGGGAGGTCCATGGATGCTGCTTCGATGTTGGGTGTGTTCAGTGGAGCTGGTCGATTCAAGAGTTTCTTGAAGTGCTCCACCCACCTGTTTCGCTGTTCATCAATGTTGCTGATTACTTTGCCTCCCTTGCTTATGACTGGTCGTTCTGGTTTACGTTGGCTTCCAGCGTGCTTCTTTGTTGTATCGTACAATTGTCTCAAGTTTCCGTCTCTTGCAGCCTTTTCCGCCGTCATTGCTAGATCTTCCACATATTTCCGTTTGTCGGCTTTGATGCTCCTCTTCACTTTCCTGTTTGCTTCTGTGTATGCAGCTTGTGCTTTAACTTTCTCTGCTCTTGTTCGGCTGACATTGATCCATGTAGCTTTGTATATGCGTTTGTGTGGAAAGATTGTGCCACCGATGACCAATTTGTTGAAGGCACATAGGTTTTCGAATCTCTCACCGTTTTCGTTCCTTTCTCCCAGTTCATGTCGTCCCGTGATGTCTTCATATCCAGTGTTGTCCATTCCAACCTTGGCATTCAGGTCTCCCATAAGAATCGTCAAATCATTTGGTGAACATTTCTCGACGATTGACTGCAGCCTTTCGTAGAATTGATCATTATCGTCGTCATTGTAGTCATTGGTAGGTGCATAACATTGGATGACGTTCATTGTAATGTCCTCTTTCTTTGTTTTAAAGGATGCTTTAATGATCCTGGGTCCATGAGATTCCCATCCTATTAGTGCCTTTTGTGCATATTTGGACAGCATCAGTGCAACTCCTTGTGTATGTGAAGCATTTTCCTCTTCATGACCGGAGTATAACAGCAGTTCCCTTGAAGCTAGTCTCAGTTGTGCTACCTGTGTCCAATGCGTTTCGCTGATTCCAAGCACCTCCAGGTTGTATCTTCTCATTTCTGCAGCAACTCGAAATAGTCCTCCAGCTTCCTACAATGTTCGAACATTCCACGTACCTAAAAAAATGGTTGGTCTGGTTGTCAGAAGAGGTATCGGCCACGTGACTATCGAGGGAACTCGGCTTTCATCCCGAGACGTTATAATTCTTCTTCCAACTCCCAGGGCAGATTTAAAATGGTTTTATTTACTTCTTCTGGTTGGCGTTTTTTAGGCAGGTTAGTTTTTTGGTCGGATGGGGTCGCTAACCCCATGCCCAGCCCTCCTCCTTTATCCCGGCTTGGGACCGGCAGTAGCCCCGATGGTTCTACAGGCGGAGTTAAATAACACTTCATACTAGAGATTAATTTTTACAGATTACTGCTATTCATTTCACTTAAACTCTTTATATTGTTTTGTAAAGAAATACTCATTATTTATCTTTAGAAAACAAATTTTATTTACCATAGACAATCTGATCAAATAACTGGCAAATAGTGAACCATTACTCCCTCGATATTTTACCAAAACAGTGAATTTTAATCTATTAAATTGCATTTAATCATATTATGAAAACTACTAAGTAAACGATTGAGTTACTGACTGTTTTGTTTTACTGCTTAGTAAAGTTTTTTATTTGAATAAACTGATTAATTTGATCACTAAAAAAAATCACATTATTCTAGCTTACTTCTGGATGGGATCGTTGCATATGTATATGGAGTTTACAGTCAGGTAAATTAATTGATAAATTCCAAGATACACAATGTATGGATCAAAGACCTAGCCAACAAGCTAGCAAAGGTGCAGTATTAGATATTGCCTATAATCCTGAATTGTAAGTAGATATACCATTGTGTAATTGTATTTCATTAGTTCAGTATCATACTGAATTTATACAGTTTATAATCAAACTAAAAATGGAAAATAATTTTAGATATTTAGTTTGGTAAGAAAATATCTACTGGATTTTGATTGAATGAGCAATATAATTTAAAGTGATAGTAAGAAATAAAGGCTTAAAGATTAAACTCGTTTACGATGATGAACCAATCCGATTGAACAAATACAAATTAGGATGGAACCACTATTTAATGCTATCTATCTGTAAAACAATTCTCCAGGTTACACTCATTCATCATATGCAATAGTTTAAATTATACGAAATCCTTATGAAGCTAAGTAACTCACTTATGCTGCAGAAGTTTCCAAGTAATATTTTCTAATTCAACTTAGATAAAGATGAATGGTAATTAGCGAGAGTTATCTGACTGATCTTACATTTACGATTCACATTTAAAACAATTAGTTTACAGACTATATGAAACTGGATTCAGTACCAGATAACTTCTATGTCAGTTGTAGATTGCAATAAAAATTATTTTAATTTCTGATATAAACTTTTTTCTTCTGTTAACTTTTCTTAATAGCGATTGTTTAAATGAAATCAAATAAAGAAAATAGTTATCACTTGTTCAATCATAAAATGATCTTAATTATGAAATGCTACTTAGAATAACACTCATTCAAAATGGAATAGCATTTTGATTGAACTGACAATTATTAGTTTAAATAAAATATCATATACTAAAATTATGGTGATAAGATTTTATAACAAAGTTGCATTAGTTGAACAGTGTGGAAGATTGTGATATCGATCATTAACCAGATCTAAAAACAATTATTAGGAAATTTTTGATTTGTAAGCTTAATTCTACTCAGAGTGGGTATTGTTTTGAAGTTATGGATTAAAAAAATATATCGATCTAGAAGTTTTTTGACTTCTTAATGTATTATCCTGTTTGTCAGAAACAGTTGAACTAAACACAGTCCAACTTTACATAGATTTTAAAAGGCTTATGAAATTGAGAAATCTTGTCAAGATCTAGCATTTATTAATTTAGTTGAAAACTTGTTTGCATTAAATTTTAACTAAAGTTATCAAAGATTTTGTAGTTGATTTATTTTTATAGATTAAACATTAGTTGGTTAACGTTTTATCCTCAAACTATACTACTGTTCACGGTAAATTGATATCGACGTGCATAGCATAAAACAAAGTAAGAAGATCACAGTATAATTTAAATATATTTTGAATATAAAAACAACTCAGTTTGTTGATTTCCTATTTTTTATTTATTCAGAAACATTTTCGCATATACTTGCTCTGATTGGCTTATTTATGTTCGTAAATTTTCATTAAATGGAAATGAAATGCAATTACAAACAAAATTAATTGGACATAATGGACCAGTCAATTGTATTGTATATAATCCATCAAATTTAGAAACTGGTAATCAAAGTGAATGGATCACTGGTTCCGATGACTGTACTATACGTATATGGGTGAGCAGTTTATATGCGACAAATTATTCTTGTTTTCATTTTATCGAATTCGCTAGGTGATTAGAGATAGGTTGTAGTAAACTCTATCCACAAGTTTCTCTCTAGTTGGCTCTGTAATCTAGTGCTAGTGAATGAGACTATAAAGTTGAATGACTTACATTTGAACACCACAGGTAGCTTCCTCAAGATCACAGGTAATGTCTAGTTGTTAAATAGAACAAAATACACGAATTTGAGTTAATTAGCCCACTGGTTACAATGAAACTTGATCAACAGATTATAATCAACACAGAGGATCAAGAATATGATGCTAATCATTATTCAGTGATTAATCAATGTGTTTATCTTGTGTCTGAAAATGTATATACAGCAAAGCTGTACAAAAAATTACTGTTTTAATCTAAACTGATAGATAAACGAAATATAATATTCCACAACTGGTAAAACTTTCATAAACATACTGAAATTTCAATGATTTTTGTTTACTGTTAGAGTCAAATTTCAGTCTCTGTGATATTTTGAAGATAAAAAAACACAACAAATAAATGAAGTTTGGTCATAGATTTCTGTTAATCTGGATAGGAAACTAAGTATAGTTCAGAACAACATTTTTTGACAGAAAAAAATAAATTTTATTTCGTATCATAATGATAACAATGAAATTCATTGAAAAACGAAGTTGTCAAGTAATGGAAATAATTTAAGTTGTTCACTAAATTTCCCACCAGATAAGTATGTCTTAATTAAGCCAACAATAAAGAATGTTTTGAATAGGCAGCTGTAATTCTCAAGGCTTCAGAAAAATTTATCTTTAACATTGTTAGTAAAGAAATTTGTTGATAAGTACTGCTGTTTTCTACTCACATGTACTCAAAAAACACCTTACTCTGTAAAAAAAGCATCAGTCTCTTCAGAATACTAATTATATCTTGATGATCAGTGACAATTAACATGAAACCTAGATCACACATGGCTTTTTCCACCGATCAACTTTAACCACCTGACATCGATATGAAGCAGTTTTTTTTACGCAACAGATCAAGTAGCTAACTGAAATGAAGTTCCATAGATGACGGATTATTATATTCAGATAATTTATAGTCTATTTAGTATAAGCAACAATTCAACGATGAAAGAAACGGTTACAATCTTTTTTCTGAATTTAATCAATTTACCAATTCTCTTGTAAATTTTAAGTGGTCTAATTTTGCTGTAACAGAACATAAGTTTGTCATACAAACAAAAAACTCGTGTTATTGTCATTTGCATGAGTTCAAAGTTGTATCTAATGGAAATATAAACAACAGATTTTGATTCCTTAAAGCTTGAAGTTCAATTACATTTTTACATTAACAGTAAATTTATCATATGACAATGAAAAATTATTACATTTTTTTTCATTTAGAAAACAGTGAATGAAGAAGAAATGTGCCGATTAACTCTAAATGCAAATGGTCCAATAATATGTCTATGCTTAGATGTTAAACATAATATTTTACTTGCTGGGGTTGATAAAGAAATTAAGTAAGCGTTTTATTGACTTAAAAAAAAGGATTATATTTTCATAGACAATAATTGTGAATGAACTATAGAATAAATTTTTCAGTCATTTACATTTTCAAATACTAAATTTTTACCGAAGAGATGATTGAGAATTATGTAAATGTAATTTACTTTGACTAGAATACATCCAACAATTAGATAGGAAATAACCCTAAATTAAACGCTTGGAAATAATTTTACAAGCAGAAACCATATCTTCTTTAAAGCTTAATCGCTCAGATAATTATCACTTATACAGAATACTAATAAATGGTATTCTCATCAATTTACTTAATAATAAAACCAGTGATAACTTCATCAGTAAACAAGTGTTCTCGACGTCATATCAATAAATATGCATCCTAAAGTTTGATTCTTGCTAACTAGCCGTTTGAATTCAAGAATGACTGGTTAGATTTTTAGTTTACGAGTCTTTTGTCTTATGAGAACATCATGTTGTTTGACTTCTGTGCATTTTACGCTAAATGAAGGTAATTTCCATTTCATCAGGTTTCTCTCTTTTTGCATAACTGTAAAGAAGCAATTCTTGCTTACTGTGATGCTGAAATGAACAGATACTGACAGTACTGTGAATCTGAAACAAAGCAATAATTTTTACAACTAATCATTTGTTACTGGTTTACAGTAACCTAAGATTGTTAAAGTCGAACTGTATGCTTACATATTGAACACTGACAGCGCTTGATAAATCTCACGAATTATAAACAAATCATATCAGTAGCACATTATCCTTATTTTGAGTTTTTAATGTTCCTAACTTGTATAAAGTGTATAAATGCGGTCTTATTTTAGAATTCCAGTTCCATATATATATATATATATATATATCCCGAGTCAGAGGTAAACAATAACTTCTTAGCACTGTGTTGTGTATGCTTTGTATTACAGAATTTATGATCCTCTAACTGGACACGTTTATCGAAACTACAAAGGTCATCAGGATATAATTAGGTCTATAGTTATATTGCCTGAAGATGATGAGGTAAGTTTAAACTATTACTTTTAAGCTACACTGCTGGAATATCAGGTAGATTTACATTATAGTGAATACAATAAGCTGCTAAACTAATAATAATTTATTCCTAATAAGTAGATTAGTTTTAAAATTTCAAAAAAATCCAACAGTAGGAAGTGGCAAATGAACGTCTATCACAACTGTCTACTTTAAAATATTACCAGCCGTTTGTAGACATTATTGTACTAATGCTATTCTTTTGCCGTTTTCGACTGCAAAACCGAACATATTTTTTGAACAAAAATGAAAGAAGACGGCTACAGAGGTTACGTTCCTGAACAAAATGGCAGCTTTTGGTTTTCGTGTGAAGATAGCTAAGTTGGTACACTTACTTTTTTTACACATTTTACAACAAGTTGTTTAACTCCAAAGTCACCAACAAACAGTAAACTGATTAACAAGTCGATTATTTACAAGTTGGTTTATAGATAATCAAATGAATGAATCAGAATGTAATAATCCGAAATCTATGGAACTTCATTTCAGTTAGCTACTTGATCTGTTGCATAAAAAAACTGCTTTATATCGATGTCAGGTGGTTAAAGTTGATTGGCGGGAAAAAGCCATGTAAGATCTATGTTTCATGTTAATTGTCACTGATCATCAAGATATAATTAGTATTCTGATATAAAACAATGAAATATCAACAAGTGTTTATTTCTTTTCAATCATTATAACATCTTTTTAGTACGTATCCGCAAGTGCTGATGGTGAAATACGTTTATGGAGTGCCTGGAAGGGTAACCGTAATCAACCACCAATAGTTTCAGCAGATCAAGAATCAACACTTGTTGCAGCTAAATTGGCAGCAGTTAAATTGTCACTAAATCCAGCAGCATCACTTGGAGTAGCAGCAAAAGCATTTAGTAAAGCAGGACGATTTAGATGTATCGTTGAATGTCTAATGAGACACCAACGTGTGGAATAGATAATATGGGCATTTTGTATTGTAAACGGAGTTTCTAAGACATTTTGTTATATTTTGTATTACTTTAATGTTTAAACGGTAATTTTATTACAGTGAATATAACTTTGTATAAGATTTTGTGAGACTTCTTGACAAAAATAATGAACTCATATATTAAGGACAACGTACAAACTGTGCATTAAAATATAATGTCTTCACTCATGTCTATTGAACAAATGCCAGTGCAATTACCAATGTTCTGTATTGAGTTTAACGTTTCTTAACCCATAATGGAAACTAGTTATTCAGGTAAACTGTTTACACTCATTTGCGAACAACACGTTGAAAATCAGTACTAAGGGTGTCATGCAATTACCAACAAAATAAACGGAATCACTTTTTGAAGAGCAGACAAAAGTGGAAGACTGCAGATAGGACATTTATAAAAATCCGGCACAGCTATTTACTGTATTTGAGAATAAATAGTTGGTCTGAAAATTTCTTGCTTCAGTTTGACAACTGTGAGTGAAAAATCAGGTAACCTAAATCAAAATATTCTTATATGAGAGTAGAAAATGGGCTGGTCGACTGCTGTAATGGAAGTAGAGGGAAGCTGAATCCGTTCCTCGTAGAAGAATACTCGCTGAATAGATGTATAGAGTGCCAAGAGGCAAAAATATCAGGAAAGCATATATATAGACCAAAATATAGAAGATCCCATTTCTCAATGCCTTTTCAGCACAACGTATCCTAGGTTATTAGCATATGTTGTGTTGTGACGAGTAAATTAGCCGTTTAAACAAAAAAACATTGTATTGTTAGCGACCAAATTGATTGATAGGTTCTTTTGAAGCCATTACAGTGCTTATTCAGTCAGTCAGTTACAATATATAACTTCGTACGTATGTTGATAAGTTCAGGTTGCCATGCTATATCGGCAAAGAGACGCAACTGTCAGTTCGAATCCCATAGTGGTAGAGATAGTATAAGTATTAGCGGTAATGGAGAAGATTACGGTTCAAAGCTGTTATTCAAGAATTACAATTTAGTGAGATAACTTTAGAAGGAGAAAGACAGAGGTGATGAGGAATTCATATTAGAATTTGAGAGAACACAAAAAGTGGATGCACTTGCGCCATTCGATGCTGGTTGGTTTATTTACAAAGGGATTTAACGAAAATCATTAAGCCCAGTCATTTTCATCTATGAAAATTACAACTTTAAGACTGATTTATTTCACAGCTCTTTCAAATATCAAGAAACAATATTCTACGTTAACATATTGCATAGTAACTACTACCTTCCTTAACAGTCACTGTAAATCTTCACATCTAGTAGTAGTGACACAGTGAATAAACCTGATATCAGCACTGGTTTATGTAACAAGCGATAAAGGGATTTAGAAAAGTGTCCATATAGCATACTTTTGGTGAAACATCAATATAAGTTGCAGCTTTTGATTAATTCCAAACTTACTTCATAAATAAAATACTAATGCTAGTCAAATACTACTACTAAGATCAATTCAGTAGAGTGAAATAATATACGATCAATATTCGCCAAAATTTTGAGGTTCTGATAAATACTTGGTCTTTCTTGAGTGAAATTTAACCCAAATCGGAAGTCCCCCTTGTACACAGGGCAAGTATAAAAGCATTTTTATGTAGAACCTAAGTGTAAACGCTTTATTAAAATGCTGAGTTGATTCGGAATTCCTATTATGAACAATTTGAATACAAGGATGTTTGTCAATAACGGTTAAACAATACATAAGGGTGAGGTTATTTACAAACAACTAATTGTAGAGATCACGTCCAGCGAAGCACAGTCTGGTGTTTCAACTGAAAAGCGTAAAAACAATAAACGTTAGGGTGTAAAATGAAATCTCTAGTGAAAATCTCACTCTAACATGAAGTATTCATCTACTTGTGAGACTTAAAAATAGCTGAAAGTGGTGAGTAAAATACAGTCAGTGGATATTAAAAACGTTGCAAAGAATCTCAGGAATTTAGGTTATGATTTTTGATAAATTTTTTCCAAAAAATAATCCTGAATTGCTAGAAATACACTATTAAAAATGTGATTTATGTACAGCTATAACATCTTTAGCCTTCATATTTTATCTTAGTAATAAAAGTTAAGTGAAATAACTAGACTTGGGAAGGATATTATACTAGTTAACATAGGGGAAGAGAAATCCGACACCGGATACAAATTCACTGGAATAACAATAAAAATTAAGAATCATAACGGCACAAATCATTTTGAAGCTGACGAAAAAAAAATTTGTATAACACACGTATATTTACAAACAACAAATTATAAGTCATTACAAATGTGCAGTATAAACATAACAATAAGAAATATCATATACATCAGTTAAACGAAATGTTATGATTATTTAATCACAAAAATCAATCATCATTTCATGCACACAGATTTGAACTCCTTAATGACATGTATACAGAAATCTGTGCAACCAAAGTATATTTGGAACAGGTGTTGTAGGACTATGTTGTTTTACGATTGACAGGAAGTTGGCCAACGATATCGCATCATCTTAAAGAGAATTAAAACAAAATCAAATGTGAAGTTTAAAGTCAGTCAATGAGTATTCAAAACATTAAACTTCCAAAGATGTGTTCTCTGAGCTAGATGATTTAATTACAAAGCTTTCATTATCTTTATAGACATCATTGAGATTCAACGATCACTTTGTTTTAAAGTATATATTATTGGTGTGTATAAAAACCATCCAAAGTCCTTATCCAGAGCACTAAATATTCTCCGTCATTACAAAAAAGTTAAACTACAATAAAATATCCGAAAAATCAGAACAGAGACCTAATGAGCACATCAAATTCGCTATGCATGTACTTTTATAAATGCGCACGCAATATGTTAGGTATGTACGTCGTCATGATAAACACAGTTATTTAATGGAGGAAATCTTCTCTACAACAAAATGGAACTATTCTGGCAATTTCGAAATCAAACTGTGAACATAATTTTAAACACAAATAAAGATTACCAGTCGACAATTCCCCATATTCCCATTTGTTAAGTCATAAGTCACGATGAAATGTATGTAGTTAATTTGAATTCGAATATACTTCTTTGATTTAAGAATGATATTAGGCAGACAAATAAACACTGGAATATGTATAATAGGCAAATTTATCCGATGAAAAGAAAAACATATTCATCTTTTCATGCTTTATGTATATGTTTAATGTCTTTACGAATAGATAAAAAAAAGTGAATTATGCAAAATCAAATCAATATACTAACCTTTAGGTAAATGAGGCAATAGAACAGTATAATCAGGTAAACTGAACCATAATCGGAATGCTTTGACTAGACTGGATTGGAATGTGTTATACTGACTGAGTGTAATGTCGGATAAATTGAAATAGTAATTCTTCAAACCAACTGACAGCTCTAGAATGATAAAATACAATTAAAATTCCCGTGATTTTATTTCAATCGAAACAAGTTGCATAGCTAGACAAACACAAAATTTTTTCGCAGAAACACACTTTTAAACTACCAAACCTTTCTTTTTTCACAAGCAAAACTCAAGTACAAAAATAGTAGATTTGCAATAATTCATTCAGTTAGAAATATCAATGAAAAAACGCTATGATAATTAATATATGTGAAATTTGTGTAGAATACAGTTAACTTAAACCGTTGTATAAAAAACAATTAATAAGAATACTTAGTTTCTTAAAGCATCATGAAAAGAACGAACTGTCTATCAAATTGATTTAAAGGGAAGTTACTTTCATTAGTAAGCAACATCAAGGTATATACAAATAATATAATATAATATAATATAAGCAGTATTTACCATCTTTATGTTTTATAAATTGTTGAGTAACACGAGCAGCTAAAATACGTCCCAAATCAGAGCATGATGAAATTGATGCAGATGAATTTCCAATAGGCCTGTGATCATTCGATGCATTGAATTTGTTTGTTGATGGAAATCGTTTCAAAAAAGTCACTAACAGCTTTAATTGTTTTAATATGCATAAATCCAACCAATCTTTCAAACATTCATCGAGCTTATAAGAACAGGATAAAAAATAAAATAAAATCACTGATTATTACTTTCATTGCTATTGATGTGCTTTTCAAACTTTAATAAAATTAACCAATGTTTTATTTCTACTTATATATATATATATATATATATATAATATATAACTGGAAAAGTGAGTTGGTCGATTACCCATGATTGCAAAATATTCAATTCTTCTCCTTCATTTCGTTGTTTAACAAAAATATAACCAGCTGTATAAAATGTTTTTCTGTAAAAGAATGAAAAGAAGGCAATAATTAATGTACAATATGGACAAATTCATTTAAAAAACTATTGATACAACAACAATTTCTTACTTAAACAAATCCCAATTATTTGTTCCATGATAAAAAACAGTAGGCCAATATTTCTCAGAGTTATGATTGATTTCAAGCTGAAATTATAATTTGAGAAAATAAATAGCCCTCCATAATTAATGAATATCTCGATAAATAATAGATCAGAAGTGACAGTGTAGCTATTTACAACGTTAAAAAGATTTACAAGAAAATGCAATACACTTGCAACAGTATGCAATCAACAAATTCTTTTACACGAAAGTAAAGATGATAATGTTTTCCCATTGTTCTATTAAAACAGCAGTCTTCACGATTATTAGCTAAATAATATTTATGACTGAGTTGTCTGGTCAAATACAAAACGAACATTGAATAATACATCAGTCATGTTGGCGGCTGTCAGGATTTTTTTGTGATTTCATTGTGTGAGATTTAATGAGTGAAAACGATTAATAATCAGTCAGATAAGTAGATTTACTAAACATAATCATGATAGACCATGAATCATAATTATTTTAATCAATAAATGAATTAAAACATTGAAATTTTGTAGTTTTGGAAAGCAAGGTGTGTTCATCCTTTTCTCTTCTTAACAAATTTACACAGCCCGTAAGGTCAGAATGCAGAATTATGTTTACGCAGTGACATAGCAAAAAAAAGAATATACGAGAAATATTGAGCATCACTAGTAAAAATTGTAAAAATGAAAGTTTGCTGAAAACAAGCAAGAAAAGAATCAGCGAATTCAAAACCTAATGGGATACATTGTAAAAATGTCAGTTTATGATAAACACTATCACACTAAGCAAAATGTTTCCACTCTGTCTTATGGATCCAGCACTCCAATGCTTTATACGACATATCATCATATTTAAGTGATGTGCTATACGAAAATACACACTAGCTTAGTCAGATAGTCAGTTAAAATGTAGAATTTCATTCATAAGTAAATCAGTTCAAGTTCGAAGATATTATTCAAGAAGCATCACCCAGTGAAATAAACTTGAACAGAGAAAGATAAAGATGATGAGGGACTTTAGAAGATTAGAATTTGAGAGAACACAAAAAGTGGATGCACCTGCACCATTGCAAACGATTCTGAGCCATGTCATTCAAGGTCTCTAACCATCGATTACTATCATCTCGTGGATCCCGATTAGGTAGTCTACACTAACTAACATCACTCAGTCCATTTGTCAGTGATTTCATGGATTTGTGCCATGTTTTGGTTTGGCTTTCTAGCTAGCTTCCTTCCAACCTTCTCCTACACCACAAAACGTAGCTCATCATGGCAGTCAGTGGTTAGGCATACGTAACACATGTCTCAACCACCTCAACTGATGAAATTTCAATACTTCAACTATTGATCCGCCATCCTTACCTAGTACGCGTTTCCTAACAACAGCATCGCATACTCGATAGTCCCAGGATATACAAGCGATGCTTCAGAGACACCTATGATTGAATACCAGTAACCTACGAATATCTTCTACTCTGACCGGCCATGTTTCACAGCCATACCAGTAAAAACACACTAGCTTCGAAATTACTACAATCGGTTAGAAACTCATCAGAAAAAATCAGAATTGTCCAGTAAATTTGAATAAAGTTAGGGATATTGTGACTGAAGTATTGAAAAATACATAGGAAAAAACTTCTCGAAATTCATTTCTTATAAATGTATTGAGTAGGAACAAACGTTTCATAAATAGTTTAACTTACCCAACTTATGTTATCCAATACATCAGATGGAAATATAAAAGTATCTTCTGATGAAAGTATAGCATCGGATTCCTGTAGGTAAAATTAAAAAAAAATCAACTCAATGTGCTTGATAAATGCAAGAAGAATAGTGTTAATCAATTGCAACTCAAATCTGAAACTCAATCTAGACACACTATTGACTGAATGATTCTCATCTGTGTAAAGCAGAGTGTTATATTAACTCTAAGATAGATAGATCATAAAAAAGGGATCAGGTAAAGATCAAAACAGAAAGACTTGCCTGAAGTTTGGCCTCGAAATTAGACAGAACAACACGGCCAGTATCTACATCTACAGCACAGACACGTCGAGGTATGGTGGCAAGGGCGTAAAGATGACGAAGAGCTTGTAAATGATACCTAAGAATGAATAACATTTGTAGAAGATCATAAAGATGTTGAAAATAAAATTTACTAATCCAACAAAAAACTATACAAATTAGGCTTAAAAACTCGCTAGTTCAGATAAATACCTAAAACTGCCTTATTGGATTATTTAAAAATGGTGAGTAGTGGTGTCCAACGATTCTAAACACTAGTAAAGATCTGACTAACGAGTTTCCTCGTATTTTCACTACAACAAGTGATAACAGTTTGAAACTTGAATTTAAAAACCATAGCTCTGAACAATCTCCAAATACCAAAGAATTTCAATAAGAAATAAAATGATTTACATATTTAATACAGCTTCACATACCTGGCTTCGAGAAACATTATCATTGTGGTGACTAGTAACATTACTCAAAGAAGTACAATAATGAAAAAAAAATGGATTCGATTTTCCAGATTCATAATTCGTCAATCATGTCAAAGTCTATGCACAAATGTCATTTAAATGAAGAGTAACTTAATGAAATGTTTATGTAAGGGATGAAGAGTTATTTAGATAAAACGATACATGGATGGTCAGCTCACCAATTATCACCAGCGAATGTAGGAAGGAGAGGGAAAAAGGATATAACCAACATTGCAGCAGCTTCTGGTGTGTTTGCGAGAGTTAATCTGAAAAAAATATCACAAAAACGAAAATGAATATATTAAATAAGTTCCTAAAAATATATACAAGTAAACATAACTAGATTTAACTGTAACGAGTGATGTTATTTGTGGAGATAAATGTGGACATAAATTCAATAGATTTCATTGCTCTCATGTCAGCTAACTATTCAGCAACAAAAAAAAACACCAAGGATATATACATGTTCTTAGTTGCTTTGAAAACCACTAATTAGGGGGAACAGTCACACTGTTTAAAAACTATGAGATTATTAAATTAATCAAACAACATAACTTAAGTTGATGATGAATACTAATAGTCCTTCTTTTGAAAAAATAAGTTATTATTATTAGTAGCAGTACTATTGTCATTAATATTATGAGCTACATAACAAAAGAGGGCATGATAATGACATGTATGGAACCACTTAAGTGCGCATCCATAATTTCGCAATCAGGAGCTGAGCTTAGACACGAATGCAAAACCTGCAGACCACTGAGCTTGTATCCAGTGATGGACATAAGCAACTTCAATCGAAACAACTCAGACATGAAAATTTCAAGATTATTAAGCGACAAAATTGTTTTGGTAAAATGTTAAATTTCAATACATGAAGACAAAGAAAAAACTATGAATTATAGTTTACATACCGTCCACCACCGAGAAACAACAGACCAACAGTGTTAGCAAGAAGCATTTGTAATCCGTAACTCGGACCAAGAGCAGCACCAAATACTGACGCTACAGATACTGGGCCGCTAACAGACGTTCCTGTTGAGCTAGTGGAAACTGTTTGTGTGGTTGCTGCAGCACGAGCTGCGGCAGCTGTAACAGTATGATAGAGTGAGTCTGACCCAGTGTTATTGCTTGGTCCAGAATTCAGTGTATCTGGTTTAAGATTGAACAGATGAATAGCTCGCAGTTGTCGAACCATTTTGAGAACAGTCAAATTGCCAGAACCAGCAAGTATCATAGAGAGAGCTAAGAGACATTGAGCTGCACATTGCGCTAGCGTCGGTTTCGGTAAATTTGCTTTCATTTGTTCTGAATCCCACTGTTTATTCTGAGACAGTAGTTTGGAAGTAAATTGTGATGGAGGCCACCAAGTACCGTCTAAAAGACTTACTGTAAGAGAGTACTAAAAAGAAATGATCAAAGACAACTCATTATATTAGCTCATAAACCAAGACAATTGGAAATAATAAGCGTTTATAAACAGATGTGTTATAAATGCTAGACATTACATATACTGATTGAAGGATATCATTTTGAAGTAATAGGTTCATAAATGGATAATTATAGTTTTGTTACAAATTATCTTACAAGTTTATTTTTTGACACAGCATACAGCGTCAGAAAACAGAAATTCAAACACTTTTATCACACATGATAATAAACAATAGGACATTTCTAACAGAGAATCATTTGTTATATGATTTATTGAGGAGTCTTCACTGAAGTATGAGGAACATTAACAAAATTATTACTTGTGATAATCTTTCATATTATGGAAAACTATGTACTTGAATTCATTTGTGAAAAAGTAATGCTTTCCAATAAAATATAGCTTAGCTGTCACCAAAACTTCGAGAGCAAAAAATCATTCAACAGATTAATTAATGTCATTACCAGCTAACAAACTAATTATAGATGTTGGGCGACAGACAAAGAAAAAAACTGGGAGAATATTATTCATTTATTAAATTAAAATGAATATATTGATTGATATTTGAATGGGAAATTAGATTACCACTATCTGTGGGGCGATCAGTATAATTCAAAGTGGAATCGGCACAAACCTGCAATAGTTCAAGTTACCACATCACTTAAGGACAGAGAAGTAGCAAAGGAATCAAAATGATTATAGGTTCAATGAAAATAAAACTTAATATGGAGCATTTAGTTTGAAATGACAGAGTGAAATAAAGGAATAAACAAAAAAAACTATGAAGTAATATTGAAGAAATAAACAGGGAACGATGAATGAATACATGTCACAGTAAATGATTTTGTACTGGATCGATTGGAAAATTATTATTATTATTATTATTATTATTATTATTATTATTATCATCGATTGCAAGCAAAACTTGAAAGCATACTTCTTATTTGATTTCATAAAACAAAAATATTCAACAATAATCTATAGTAACAACATTAAAAAATAAACTAATCGATGTTATGGTTCAGTGATAACAATATATCTAGATCACAAATCAACAGAATAATTAAGATGTAAGAGATTATAGAATCATTTCAATCAATTTGTTGTAATCAATGCACATATAAGACTGTTATTTCAAACTATTCACAGAAGTAGCCCTTCACGTTATGCTTCTGTATAAGATTATTTGGTTAGTGAAGATTACAACTATTACATAATGATAGAAGTGCGAGTTAGCTCGTCTTCATAAATGATCATAAATATTTTTAAAAAAAATCACAAAAACAGTTATTATTATCATTATCAATATGATTATATTGATCAAAAATATTACCAATGTATTAGCTGCACTGGAATTCGATGTTCCAGCATAACGTAAACCCATAGCTAAGGCACATCCAACTAGAATGTTTAAGTAAGCCAAACTGAAATAAAGAACAGAAAAATGAAACAAGTAAACAATAAAGTCCAGCTTTGACATTTCATCGATCAATTAAAGTTAAAGGAAATAAATGAGGGAATTAATGATGAACAGACACCATCAACAGCTGATTTTTACGTCTTACTACATGAATGGCTAAAACAATACAATATTCACTTTGTGGTTAAATTTAATTGTTAGCAGGGAGAATATTACTACATAAATTAGCAACCGAAACTATGGTCAGTACTTTTTTCCACCTCAAACTCTAAATGTGAGGATCGGATTGATCAGTTGAAAAAATAAATGCTCTACGTAGAGATCGAACAAAATAAGAACCCTTAGCATATTTGTAAAAGCTTGTACGTTCATTGTAAAGTATACCACAAGTGTGAATCATTTTCATTGGCTCTAGTTGGTTCTCTTATTATGGTACATTTTCGAAAACCAATACACAGGTGCTAGCTAAAATACTTACTGGTAAGGCCTATTATATGATCAAACAGAGGATAGAGAAAATTTAAGTTATAATATAATTTTTTTTATGTTCTCAGACTAGCTATTTACGAAGCTCAGTGTTTTTGAACAGATACAGGGGGGCAAGCTGTGGAGAGTATGGAAGGGTTTAGGAGAGAGATAAGAAAATACAAGATGCAGATATATGTACATATATGTTCCTCCCTATCTATTACAATAGTTGAATGTGTACTTTCTTTATCATCTCATAAACAAACGATCTTCATATTAGTTGTATTACTAATGCACATGGTTAAAAAGTTTAGAATGCATTTATTAAAGGTTGACAACAAGCATTTTTTTTATGTAAATATATAACAAATACTACAAGAGGATCAGTAAATTCATAAAACTATCTTTTTATAGTGAATATAATTTATACAATACATTTACCTTATGGCTTCAATATCTACTGAATCCTTGTTTTGCAATCCAAATTGATCAAACCATTCAATTTTTCCAGGAATAGCTTTGATATTGTTGATATTAGATTCGTCTCCAGACCAATGTCTAATATCATACCTTCTTGAACGTCGAACAGGTCGGCCACGAACATTATTTACTGTACCTCGACGACCCCTATTATGTGTAGAACGTCCAGATGCATAGTATAAAGAATCAGTGAATGTTTGATCTGGACATCGATTTTCAACATCATCTTCACTGGACAAATCAGTTTGCCCCATTGTAGCACGAATATCTGAGATGTCAGGTGAATGTAACTTTGGTCTTGGTCTGATAGACTCTCTAAGCTTTTCAAACAACTGTCCTGGTATGTAAGAATCTATCCACTCTTGAGTTGGTTCTATGGAATTCCAGTTTACAAGACCATATGCAAGTGCTTGGAACAAGAGCAAATCAGGTCGAATGAGCTCCAACTGGCGTAAAGAAGATGGCGGGAGAAGCCAATTACTAACGGTAGAGTTACCACTACCCAAATAAGCCATTCCAAGTGCCATCATGGCACCAGGTGCGCTAACGTCGGCATTGTAGCAGTGGAGGTCCCGTATCTGAAACAGAAAGTTTTTCAAACGGAAAATAACTGAGTGAAGATAGAAAGTTTAAGATTTGAACTAAAAGTAACACACAAACAGTTTTGATTGTGAATTACCTGTGGATTTTTCCATGTTGTTTTAGTGGAACATTCGTCCAAACGACCAGCTAGGTCGTTGATAGTAGACGAGAATCTATTAGGAGCATTCGCTAGAGGTGGAGATATTGCAGGGCCAGTATTCGATGAATTGCGACGACGATACGAAGTTTGTCGACTGGATGTGGAGATTCCTCTGATATCGAATGAATTATGTAGATAGTCACTGGTTAGAAATCGCTCTGGATCAGCTAATGGTTCCGTCGTGTAATCGCTGTGCAGCAATAAGCTTGGAGTCCGGAAGGAGAAAGAGGCACCCCCTCTCGTGGAACAATTGGATAAATTATTTTGAGGACTGGCAGGTTCAACATTGGTCTGATGTGGCCGCCTTGATTCTTCGGTTATCCGACGAGGAGTACCTCTGCTTTTTACGCGCTGAATAGGTAAAAACCTTTCGCGTGGATCACATGAAAAGTGCACATTGTATTTTTGGTGATCGGGAACAGACGAATTTGAGCTCTTTGGGCCTGAAGTCATATACGCATGTAACTTCTCCGCCCATTTTAGATCGGACAATCCACATGGTGTATCACCTCTCTGTAAATAACACACAAAGAGCAAATAACTTTAACTAACAATTTTATTATGATATGATGACCAGACATAATCACCTAGTTTTTAGCCAAACTTCGGTCATTTTGACCAAGCAATACGGGAAAAACGATTCCTGTACATGAATAAGTTCGCGTTTCAATTTTATGAGGAAAGATATGTTCAGTGTGGGAAAAATCACTCAAAATCATCTGAACAACACTAATATTTGCAAAGCCACAGTCAGATGTTATTCAAATCCAAAACAAAACTTACCATAAAAAGACAATCTTTACGTCTAGATAATCATTACACAAAAGATTTTAGCATAAGAAGAAATTTATAGAAACATACGGGTGCAAAAACTAACCTGTAGAAGCACAAGCCCAAGTGCAAGACCTGCTGAAAGAGCCATAAGCTCACAACTGTCTCCTGCAAAACCTCCTGAACCACCAGCACCTGTCCAGCCAACGGTATTACTTGTAGAATTATTATTAGATCCATTGGGAACAGTTTGTTGGGAGTCTGTATCTGCACTTAGCCTTAAATGTGCGTTATCAGAATGAGAATCTTCACTTAACGAACGACCTAGTTCATTAATTAACAAATTAGTAATATGTCGGTGTGCTGAACCCTGATAAAGTAACCCAAGACCGAAAATGGCGGCTGCTTGGCATAAATTAGGAACACTAAGTTGAACATTAATTAAAGGATCAGATGGTAAAAGTGGACGGTAGTGAACTGCAATAAGTCGCAAAACAGACTGATCCATTGTACCTCGTCTTCCAGCACATAACCCTTAAAAACATAAAACAAAATGTATGTATTAATTAGTTTAGAGAAGAAATACAGTTGGAAAATCTGTAAGTATATAATGCTTACGATAAACATACTTTGATAAAATTACATATATTGTCTATAGAGTTGTGTATATACTTGGTAATTATGTATAAAACTGATAAACATAACACTGTTCGACAGAAAACAGATATACACATCCTAAATATTTCAAGAAAAATGTTTGTGTGTTACGAAGATGCAATTAAAGAATATAATAGTGATTTTCAACGGAGTAGATTATTTTTAATAAACTCATCCACCAAGTACTCGGTTATGAGAGCTAAGGATAATATTCTACTGCTCAAACCAAAATAGGTGGAGCGGGTTTTGACTTAAAGTTGAACAGATTAACCATTAGGCCTATGCTCAATAAAAAAAAAGAATGAAAATCACTACCAGACGGGCAAACTAGAATATGGTGCGCATTTATGAAGTTATTAACTGTTAATTATTATCTGCAGAAAAAACTTTGAATACCATGAGTCAAGAAAAAAGTAAAACTCAATATCAGCTTTATTAACGGATTCATAAATTGTCCTATTTTAATTATCAAGGTTTTAGTTGTCAGGAATCTGTTATTGTAAACGTATATTTACTTATCTGTAAGTTCCATTTCCAATTTCATTCAATGTGATATTACAAATTTAGCTTTAAAGAACATATCTCTAACTATGACTTTATATGTTAAAAACTAACTTTTCTTACTTCAATTTAGATGTGTAGATACTATCCTCAAGTCTTAAATAGAAAATTACAACTTACTACCCATCCGAATATCATAAAAAGATTCAGATAATATTATGTTAAAGTCACAATGTCAGTTAGTCAGCAACAACCTAGAACTTCGTACGTACGTGCAGCAGTTCAAGTTGCCATACCACATTAGCACACAGAGATCGAATTGTCATTTCGAATCGTAAAGCAGTAGAGGTAGTAGACGTATTAGAGATAATTAGAATTATGTTATTGATCGAAGACATCATTCGAGAAGTATATCGCAGAGGAGTCAATTTAAAAATGAAGAAGAGAGAAAAAAGGGTCAAGAAGAATTCAGAAGATTAGAATCTGAGAGAACACAAAGGAATTGATGCACGTGCACCAACGCAATACAATACAAGAGAAATCGAGATATAGAAACTGCCGAAAAAATTTTATTTAGCGAAAAAATAACGTGAACTATAAGAGCCTTACCTAAAAGTACAGCCATACTGTGTAAGTCATGAACTCGTACAAGATATTCTCCTATATCATAAGGTGTGATTTTGTTTAAATGACCATTTAAACCTAAACCAAGTATTAAACCAGCTTGTTCGGGACTAAATGTATCCACAGATGATGCAGAATCTTGATTAGTACGAGGATTATTTCTACGATGACTAGCGGATGTACATCCGGCAGCACGACAGTTATAAAGAATCCATGTTGCATCAATCTGTAATAAATCATACAAATAAGCTTTTCAAAAATGTATACATTCATGAAAAAAACAAGTAAGTAAATGTCCGTTTAATATTAACAATACAATACTGTTGGGTGAATTAATGGTTCTACTCAGATTGTAATTTATTCAAAGGGATTTAAACATAGAAAAATTGCTGAAGTTATTCTGAGCTAATTGTTGTTTCAAGGACACTAGGCAAGATCCTAATTATTTAGATACGAAATGTTAGTAATGAGTAAATAGTATTGTTATGAACAAGAACAACAGAACGTCCGAATAGGGATGACGGAAGCAATCTACCTTCTTGTATTCTCGTACAAATGATGTACACTTAAAACTGTGAACGCTTCAAGCAACAATAGAAAATGGTGATAAAAAACGTTAGTCATTCCTATCATTTTTTAAAACATGTTTGGTCTTAACGATTACAAGGTATTGTCCTATATTTTCGAAATAGAATAATTAGTGATCAGTAGTAAAAACACTAAGTGATTGAAGAATTTCAAACACTTTATGAGAAGAAATAGCCTTCAAATTACAGAGAGGAAATAAAGTAAGGAATATATCACCAAACTAACAGACAAAATAACACCCAACTTGGGGATATTAAACAAAATGTTCCGCAAAGAAAGTTTGCATTAAAAAAAGGCAAAGCAATAACATCAATTGCTGATACGAATTGATTGAATACAGTGGTTCTCAGTCAAAGATGTCCATCAACCCATTACTGTTACAATATATTAAAAAAATATTAGAACTAACAAGATCAGCAGCAAATGAGTCAAAGTAATGGTAGCGGCCAACTCTATAAAAGAGACTAGACAGAGGATACGGTTTAAAACGGAGCAATGAATCAGACAAAAAAGCAAAAAACTGAAATACTTAGCTAATCATAAATGACCTAATGAGAAGGCCGTCGCACGACTACAAAAAATGTCCTGAAGGACGAATGCATATCGTCGGTTAGGAGTGGCTTTTTGTTAGGATATTCACCAAATATCCTACGAAGAATCATTTGCAAGTGTAAATCTTATTGGTCTATTCCTATTGGTCAATATTATGGTCGTCCTAGCTATCAATGCCACGTACTTCTATGTTGTTTCTTATTGGTCGTCTTGACTATCAATGTCACTTCACTACTACGGAGTAATTGAATGTGACTGCTCGTAATTGTGTGGGGTAAAATATTATGTATCGCCTACTCCGATTCTCTATTTTAGTCGGCAATCCTATATAATCTGATTTATCGTGATCTACTCCCTGAGTAGTGCACCGTTCAACCATCCAATTCAGTAGTACAAAATTAAACCTATTTAGTCGCTATGTTTCATACGGTGAATAAAGACTATATCAGAAAACCCCGTTATAGTGAGCTCATCTACTAGATATTGACACACATAAATCTAATTTTTTTAATGTGTTCAGTCACTATAATATACATAATTCTTCATAAAAACTTGATTTAGTAAACAAGCAATTTCCATATAAGTATGATATGGAAATTAATATGAAAGAACTATACGTAAGACTTTTGTGACTAACCGAGGCATGAGGCGATATACTTAAACCAACAGCCACTCCATTATGAAAACCTGGCCAATGTTTTGCAGCCAATACTCCTGGAGCCTGTTGAATATTGGCGGTAGATAGTAATGAAGCAGTAGAAGACGCTGAGTTTGTAGCTGCTGTGGATATATTTGAACTGGCATAATTGTTAAGCAAGTTATTGATTGGTGTCATACGCTTCAGTCCTAAAGATATAGTCTGGAAGAAAGAAATTAATTAATACAGTTAGGATTTATCTATACTATACAATGTAAGAGAAATTTCGATAATACTAAGAAAAGACAAGAACCTAAGATAGGATTCCAAAAGAATATCTTACACGCAAAGATGCTCCAGCACCACATGAGGCTATTGAAGATGCAATAGCTAGTGCTACAGAGTTTCCTGGATGGTTAGATGCATCAATACACTGGACACCAGAAGTACCCAATCTATCCCCACCGCCACCAGCTATATCTAAGCCACTTGCTATCACTTCAGCGGTTCCAGGAGTCCTGTTAGCACCTACATTTGCGTTGGTAGGTCCAAGGGGCTCTCGAGCAAGGTCAACCAAAACACGTCTTCCGCTACTTGGGGAAACCGCTCGACCACGCAAACATATTGATGGTACACGAAGTTGTGTTGGTACTTTTGAACCTGTAAGGATTCCAAAAGTCAGCATTCCACGACCAATAACAGAAGCCCAGACACGAATACCGGCTGCAGCTAAATGCATTTCAAGCCTAGCTTCTGTCAAACGAGCATTTAAATCAGATCCAGGCGCACTATTAGGAGATGTATTGACAGGATCCTCAGAATTTAGACGAGGAAGGCGAATATGACTGAAACTTTGAAGGAGACGATATGCTTCACGAAGGCGTAAATCATCCTGAAAAAAGTAGTAAACGTTAAAACTGTTTTTAACTTCAAATAAACAGAAAAATTGAGATAATCTAGCTATCAAGACCTTAAGCAGTTGGAGGTGGGTGAGAGAAAACTCTGGACCTAAATTTTGCGCTACTTGGCATTCATTGAAAGTATACTTGTAATCTTGCGGAAACTGGAGATGTCTGGATGAGTCGGTCACATGACACTCAAATCTACATTTAAAGATGTTACTATTGAGCTCTTCAGGCCGCGAATGATCACTCCTGTAGAGCTGAGATTCATTTACAACTAAATGATCGCTCACTAGCGATCAACGTCGTGTTTATTAAGTCCATAGTCGACAGAAGTCGATCAACATTGGAAAGGACTTGTCAGTCATGACATTGCTAAATACATAGTGACCAGTTACTTGCAAATCTGGTTGTTGGTTTTATGTAATGATGAGTTATAAAAACGAAAAAGAGTAAGAAGTGACAGCCAGTCAGTATTCCAACCTTAGAAAGGTTAATGAAATTTACCGTCGTGTAGAATTTCGATGTCTCGTTCAATGAATTTATGTCCGTATTTGTCTAAGTGTACCGATATCGGTAATAGTATAAATTATGACGTTTCGCTGAAAATTTACATTCGTCTTTGGCTGTTGCAACTTTTGATTCTCGTAAGACTGAAAAATGACTGTGTTAGTTCGTAAAGGACATTAATTCCAAAGTATTTCACACTCATGGTGATGATTTCTGAGATGTTTTCTCGTACAAGGAAATGATTCGTTTGCTAGACGTCGGAATGAATCAACAAGATGCTCGTGGAAAAAGTGAAAAGCCCACTTCTACATAAAGTATTTTCTGATGAAGTTATCCAAAATGAAAACGAAAATGTCGTACACTATTGACACCAAAAAACCAATACAAAACCGCGACATAAAACATCCTCATATTTTGAACCCATGAGAGATTATTACCATTGAATTCGCAGTTCATTTTAATTACCTGTAACTAATGAAAAATGCATATATTTAAAAATTTACTATAATTTCAAAGATACATCATCATCGAATAAAATTAACAACCTTGAAGGAAGCTTGACAACAAGGATTGTTTTCTATATGGTACAAAAGAGCATGAGGTGATACAGCCATATTCGTTGACATTGATCCTACATCTCGAAGAGGAAGAACTAAATTTGACCATCGTTCTTCGATGGACCAGGAGGAAGTTTCACTGATAGACGAAGGTACAGGTAATGCTTTAGAAAGACCAATCGGTTCAGATCTTGCACCAGCAGAGTTGGAACAATTAGATGCTGAGTTCAATAATGGATCAAAAACAGAGTTTCCTTGATAATTAAGCATATACGCTTGCTTCGCCAAATCAGTACGTCCTTAAACAAAAAAATATAAATCATGGAGTGTACAACAAATTGTTTTGATGAAATAAACAAAATGACAAAGCGCGATGTCTAAAAGTTAAGACATTACATTAAGGGAGACGTTTGTCCGAATCAGTTCATACTGATCATCTAAATTGCATGGTATCATAATCCTAAAATTTCGGGATATTTTTTATGGTTATAAGTCGATAGGTCAGTCAGTCATAACGTAAAACTTTGTACGTACGTACATCAGTTCAAGTTACCAAACCACATTAGCACAGAGATGCAGTTGTCAATTCAAATCCCATGGTGTCGCGGCTTAGAGAACAGATAACGTCGACCGTCTGTTGCAAATATGCTCAGATAACCACCTATTTCTAGTAAACACTAACTTTTGGAATAAGGAAAAGCATTTTTTTTGACCTCGCGACCCCCGAAGTCGTCCCATCGTTGAACCCAACTGGATCACATTGCCATCAGCCACCGATGGAGAGGTTCGATAGAGGACTGTCGCTCGTTCTGTGACACATGACTAGATTCAGATCATGCCCTAGTGCGAGCGCGTATTTGTTTGCGATTTACTGGACGTAGGAAAGACACCACAAGGAAACCTCTCAGAGTTCTACCTAATGATAGTAGAGCTATGAATATTTTTCAGGAACAACTAAAAAAACAGTCAGGAGACCATGTAAAAGATCACCATCCGGAGGCAGCTTGGAACGATACCCAAAAAGCTGTGGAAACAGCAGTGATATCTGCTAGTAGGGAAAACTATACGGCTAGGAAGAAGACGTGGATCTCAGTAGCATCTACCGAACTGATGGATGTTCGAAAACTCATCCCGCCTGGCTCTGAGTGCGATGAGGAGCGGAGTCAGCTTAGACGTAGGCTGACAAAAAGCCTATGCAATGATCGAGAACAGTGGTGGATGGCGAAAGCAAGAGCGATGGAAAAGGCAGCGGCGATCGGCAACGGTAGGCAACTATTTAGACTCATCAAGGAAACTGGTATTAGGAACCCGAATAAAAGTGAGACTATTTCGGAAAAGGATGGTTATATCATTCATTATCCACCCTGGAGATTGGATCGATGGGCAGAACACTTTAGGGATCGGTTTAACTGGTCTTCAGCCACACTTCAGTTGCCCACGATCTCCAGTCATCCTGAATGGCATATCGATATAAGTCCCCATAGTCTTTACGAAGTTGAGGAAGCGTTAGGAAATCTAAGCGAGGTAGAGCAGCAGGTCCTGATAGGCTAACTCCTGAGATTTTTAAGGATGGTGGTCCAGTTTTATCAGCTAGATTGACCGAGATATTCGGCAGAATCTGGGAACTGGGCATAATCCCATCCGACTGGTCTCAACCACTGATTGTCCCAGTCTACAAGAAAGGACAAAATTCTTCTTGTGACCATCACAGAAGAATCAGTCTAACTAATATAGTTTCTAAATTGTTAGGCTCCATCATACTTAGACGTCTAACTAGAGATCGTGAAGAGCAGACTAGAGAAAACCAGGATGATTTTCGACCTGGACGCGGCTGTATAGACCACATCTTCGCACTACGACAGGTCCTGGAACACAGACACACATTTAGGCGTCCTACAATAGTTGTTTTCCTGGACCTTAAGGCGGCATTTGACTCTGTGGATCGTGAGGTTCTGTGGCAGTGTCTGTCATTGAAAGGTGTACCAAATAAGTACATTAACCTCATACAAGCTCTCTACTCGAACACCACTGGTCGAGTGAGAGCTTATGGCGAACTGTCATCAGAATTCTTTACTTCAAGTGGTGTCCGTCAGGGATGTCCACTTTCTCCATTCTTGTTTAATTTTATCATAGACATGCTCCTAGAAATAACCTTATCGTCGTCTGAATTTTCAGGAGTAGACCTTCTACCAGGTGGCTCGCTTATTGACTTAGAATATGCCGATGACATAGTCCTACTTGGTGAAGACGCTGACAAAATGCAGCGTCTTCTGACTACCCTAAGCAACAATGCGAGCATGTTCGGGATGCGGTTTTCCCCTTCGAAATTCAAAATGTTGCTTCAAGATTGGGTTTCATCGGCACCTGAACTAGTGATAGGGAGTGAAATAGTCGAACGTGTAGACCGCTTCACTTATCTTGGGAGTCTCATCAATGCTGATGGCCTGGTGACTGACGAAAGCTCAGCATGGGTACAGAAGGCTCGATTCCCTTTTGCCAACCAGCGTCACCTATGGCGTAAGCGAGATATCCGTTTGCTGACTAAAGGACGAGTGTACTGTGCAGTAGTTCGCTCCATCCTACTGTACGGATGCGTGACTTGGCCGTTAAGAGTAGAGGACTTCCGTAGGTTACTAGTCTTCTATCATCGATATCTCCGAAGCATTGCTCGTGTATCCTGGGACAACCGTATAAGCAATGCTGTCGTTAGGAAACGAGTTCAAGGTAAGGATGGATGACTGACTGACTGACTGAGTGGTACAGATAGTAGAAGTATTAGCTGTAACGAAGATTAGGGTTCAAAGGAATTATTCAAGAAGTCTGATCGAGTGAAGGAAATTTAAAAAGCTAATAGATACACCTACGCCATCGCAAACGGTTTTGAGCCATGTCATTCAAGGTCTCTAACCATCGATTACTATCATTTCGCAGACCCCAACTGGGTAGTCTACACTAACTAACATGACTCAGTCCATTTGTCAGTGATTTCATGGATTTTTTCAGTGTTTTGGTTTGGCCGCCCCTAGTTTCCTTCCAACCTACTCCTACGCCATAAAGCATAGCTCAATGAGGCGGTCTGTGGTTGGGCATCAGTAACACATGTCCCAACCACCTCAACTGGTGAAGTTCCAATACTTCATCAATTGATCTGCTATCCTTACCTAGTACCCGTATCCTAACAACATTATTGCTTACTCGATAGTTCTAGGATACGGTTATACACTACGATGAATGTAGTAACTGGTTAACACCTAGTATATTTTTTAATCTACTCATTTAATAATAGATAGTGACAGAAAGATATGATTAAACACTATGAACAAACGTAGTTGTAACCTTGGCATAGTTACAAACATAACGAACAATATTGCTTGAAATACTAGTATTTCTAGGTCACACGATTAAAGATGGTTTGCTAGTAATAGGATAAAATTGTTTTATTCATTTATTTAGAAGGCAGTTTGAGAAAAGAATCTCTGCATTCGTGCTTTAAGCTAATAGAAAAGTACATTTTATCATGCATTATTATCTTATTTTATATGACATTGAAAAAGGTATCAAAAGTTACTCACCCATTAAACTATATACATGAGGATCACAATTTGGTGGGGGATGCAATCGACAACGGCTAAGAAAAATACGTAAAATCATTGATAATCCAGACGGTAGTACACGAAATCTCTTGCTCAACACACCATGGAACACTGTACTGCTTGACTCCAATCGACTAAGAAATAATAATCCCAAATGTTGTGCAGAAATCGGTAAACCAGTTAAATTAGTTTCGTGAGACACTTTATTGCTAGACAATGTAACACAAGTTAAAAGTGTCTCAACATAAGAACAAGCGTAAGGGCCAGCATTCTGTAGCCAATGTTTAACTTCATCATCATTAAATACTGGAAAATCATCTCTTTTCCTTGATGAATATTCATAAACTAAACAAATTCGTCAGAATGGAAATAAATAATGGATAATAAAGAAACATTTCAAGCAAAAAAATTTTACAAATAATTTTTCAAGATTTTGAACACACTAAATCAACCTTTATGGTAGGAATTTAAAAAAAAGGTAATTCAAGAACAAAAATATCAGGAACGTAATTCAGTGGAGAAGTCGTTTACAATATTTAAACTAGTTTCAATGTATTCACAGAAAGTAAACAGATCATTAGCCACTAAAATATAAACTATAGATTGAAACAATATTATGTTTCCATCAAACTAGACATTTATAATAATGCCCCACTAATAAAAAACTGTCGATAACTGAAAATGATTGTATCTGAAGTAGTCAAACACATATTCCTGAATCGTATTCAACCATAAACCCAAAGAAATCTCTTTTTATCTCCCAACTTTAGAGGCCTTTTTTAACAGCTTTACTTAGGGTCCAACTATTGACGACATTATCACGTTTCTGCTGAAGTTCCTGGGAATTTTTTCTCACCGACTTATACTGACACCAACCACAACATATTTACTCCAAGTCATACATTAGGTAAGGTAATTCATAAACAACGTAACTTCCTGATGGAATTCAGATAATCCGTTTAAAAACACTTCGTTTACCATACACAGATGTACTTTTTTGGACGAAAAACTCGAGACTGAATTTCTTAGTGAAAATTACTAATAGCTGTTAAATTAATCATACAATGTTTACAGTTAATTTCACTATGATGAGAAACATTCTGTCACGAATATGCACATAATGCATCGAAAGACAATCAAGAGGTTCACCTGAAGAGATTTCACTTAACTGGCCTATCTATCAACTGATTAATATATTTTTCGTGTGAAAAGTATTATTTACTATACAGAATAAACAAAAATAAATTAACAAATACCTGAACTATTGGACTTTGCAAATGTTTTCCATGTGAATATTTGACTGGACCAAAATTCAAAAAGGTGTTTGACCGCCAACTTTGGATCTGCGCTTTTAAGCATGTTCAATTTTTCTGTGGACAAAGCTGAGACGATCACTCCTGCTAAAGCCGTTGCTAAATCATTTACACCGGTCAAATAAGGATAAGGATTTGGTTTAACAGAAGTGCCACCAGAAGAAACTGATTCCAACTGTTTTGTTATCCACATTAACAAGCAAGGTGCTACATCAAACGATATTTTGTCCGGCCACTTTAAGGCCTCAGCCGGAAGTTTAACTTCAGTAACGAGAGATATGTTACATAAACTTGAATATTCAGTTTCATAAAACGCAGTATAAGCCGACAAATTTAATATACTAGGAGGCAAAAAAAGAAGAAAGTAGTGATGTCAACAAAGTCCACCAACGACCTGACAATAGTACAAGTGCTCACTCCGGTGGACAGCTATATGGAATACGAAATATATGCTAAACATTCCTTTAAGAGAGGAGGTGAATTCGCTCCTTAAGTCCCTACATTTGGCTACTGGTAAATGTTTGTATGCATGCTTAGTCTTCATGATACAGCTAGGCATAAAAGACATGGTTATCTATTGACAATATGAGGCATGTACAAATGTGTACAGAGAAAATGAACGACCAACAAATAAAAATTACTGGAAAAAAGCTGCTTTGAAAATATTTACTTTATAGGAAAAGAAATAAAAAGAACCTTTAAAAACCCTAGTTCGACATTATATCTTCTTAGAAGTGTACTAAAGAAATGGCGATATGTTAGACGAGTAACCATATTTAAAAATGGGTTGACATAAACAAGTATTTGTCATTTAATGTACATTTCAGTGAAGTACATTTAAAATTAGCATAATGATATTGTTAGCAGGACATAGATTGCATTAGAACATGTCCATTGCAGGATTACATTGGAGCATGCTAATGAGTGCATTTTTAGCTTATCAGTGCTAGCTGATAGCTATAGAAGACTCGAGGATATTCTTGTGTAAAAATTATAAACATACCAACGTTTTTATTATTGTGGTTCCTTCAGATTCAACTTCGTCTGTTAGAAAATAATAAACGATTTGCCTAAGACGTGTTTTGATTTTGAGGAATAGTTGAACGCCGTACAGTGTTCAGAAAATGCTAAGCTATAAGATAGCTGAGTGGTATAAGCAAGACCACTAACAGAAATCTACAGCAATAAGCTTGCTTAGAACTTCTTTATCTACTTTACTAAGAAGGTGTAGATTTTTAGCAGTAACAATCAACTGCAGCTTTATAACTGAAAAGTATTTGCAGGGTTTACATATCTATCTCTAAGTAACCTGAGTTTTCAAGATATTTCTTTTTCTACTAAATTATGTATACAACATGTGAGTTCAATTAAGTGTAAATTATTAGAACTTCTGCTGAATAATTTAACAAGAGCTAGAATTTTGTATTTACTCAATTAGAAATGAAATCGATTAGTGGAACGTATAATTGGAGAATAAAGTGTAAGTACCTTGAAATGATGAAATTGAGTTCGGCCAAATGCTTTACTTTGTCTTGTAGAATGGAATTCAATTTAGCTTCCTGAATGTATATAAAAGCCAGATAAAAATTTAATCACAAAAGGGTAATATTAAATTACAAATAAATACACTGCAACTCACACGAGATACTACTTCTACAATGGGTACACAACAGCATAAATTACTTATCCTGGATATTTTGACAAATCTTCCGAAACTCAAGTTTTGTAAGTAATACATTTTTGCATAGTCTATAAACATTTATTATGTTCTTTAGAAGTAGATAGAGAAAGTCTTGAACTCACAATCCAATAGAAAAACGTGTTATGAAGTAGTTGGATCATAACCGTCTACAATATATAATTCAGTATAATAAAAATAATTCTATTCGATCGTCATTTCTTTTGATCAACATAATTGAGTTGATTCAATAAAAGAAATATACTCATATAGATAAACACATTCAGTGGATAAACGAAAGAAAAAAAATACATATTTATTCAAGTAGTTTTACTTTACAATACCGTAAACAGTGAAATTGAAAATGTGAACCCTTTGATAGTTGCTTAACAGTAATGCGCTCCCCGAAAGGAGAAGGATTGTGAGAACATACTCCCGAGGAACTTCACAACATGGAGAGCCGAATACCCAGTGTTCCCTGATTTCATTGTATTTTCTCAACTCTATTCAACTTTTGATGTAAGCTATTCAAGAAAGGTTAATAAATATCAGGATAGTTAGATTGTAAAATCTTTTACTTTTCTCATGTTACATGACACTGAGAACACTATTTTTTTTAATGACATATCATTATCAAAATTTATAATGACAGTTACAAATTTTTTAAAAAAAAACTCGCAAACCATTCCTTACTTCATAGGTTAAATGAAAGGCGAACAATATAGTCGGCAGATAAGAAAGAATAATACGACTATCAGGATCATCGCGAATATACGATATGTAAATGGTTTGTTTTTGATCATTCATGCTCAGATTTTTGTCAAAATCCATTTTTTCGAATGACAAATTAGTTGATTTCGGCAGAAATAAAGATGGATGAACCAGTTCATTATCATAGCCTAAATCTAAGAGATTGGTCAGATTATTCCAATCTAATTCTGAAGATTCTTTATTACTGGGTCGATGACGTTTAGACGATTGACTGACGCCACCTACATCTTTGTTTTGTTCATTCATAACAATGTAAAAAATTAATGATAAAAAGGAAATTGTAGTTTTGTTTACAAGAAATAAGAGAAAAATAACAAAAATATTTTCGTAATGTTCCATAAAAAAAAACAACTTAAATTAACGTGTGTCAAAACCCTTGGACCTGAAACCTACAGAGTACTATGACAAAACGTTCGCATCTCAAAGTGTTTAAATGACTATACAATTAAAAATCTAGATACTTGAATTATAAAATAACCAATAAACAATTTTTAAATTAGGATAGTTGTGACATGTATTCGTCTTATGACTGGATGACTTGAATTACACGAGTTCATAAGGAATTAGAAAATTATATCATTTTTGTTTAATTATGCTTAAGATTTGCTAGGAATAGTATAATGCCAGTGCTATTCAAATTCTCATATGACATTTGCCATTTTTAATTGGTTGTTACTACTTCTAGTTTACTTTCATTACTATATATATACTGAGTTATATCATTTTAGATTGTTCTCTTGGAATATTCAGGTTTTCCTACATTTTGTTTTCGGTCAACCATTAGTTGTTGGTGTTGTTTACTAGCTATCGTTATCAATTTCGCACTAGAACTGTCTGTATTTCAATAGCCCAATCGTTTCTTGATTCGCAAATATCGTAGGTCAACTAGGAATCCTGATGGACAAAATGGTTTTTACTAAGATTTAACATTTACAAATCAATTAAACTAGAATAGTCGTTACTCTAGCTGTTTAATTTCAAAATGGAACCGACAATTAAGAGGTTTACACATTACTTACCTTACTAAAAAGTTCAAGTAACTAATAAAAAGTGATAAAGCATTCCATGTTTTGTTGTAATAACTATTGAAAACCAGTATCAAAAACAATAAAACATAAGTGCTCAAGTGAAATATGAATTAATTAGCTTACTATTTCCACATTCTAAAGATATGATGTTTTCAGTGCGCCGATGAGAAAGAGAAAAACCTGAAGCTGATAATATGAAATTAGCAAAACGATTCCATTCTTCGGGTCCATCAAAATGGTACATTTCAAGATCATCTGTGTCATCACAATAATTTGTCTCAGGTTCTTGGAATTTATACGAATGTTTTGTTCCCGGTGCATTGGATATTACATACCAACGAGTAAAAACTAGAAGACTTGCATCTTCAGGTAAACAACAATTCAAACTTGTTAAACATCGTTGCACTGAAAATACGGATAAAAGGAAACTTTACTGCAAACAAACGAGCAAAGAAAATATATCTAACTCCTAAAATAAGTAGATGACACAATTAAAGAGTTCTTGTTTCTACCCTAAAATTTAATTTGCAAAAAAATTATTGTAAAGAATAGAACTGTTTTACAATTAAACCAGAAGTTGCAAATAGATAATAATTTGATATACATTAAGCATAAAATCAACTGCAATAACTGCTAATAACATGCTACCTCATTCCTAAAAACTCAAGTAAGTTGAAATTCTAATATGGAACCTGGTAGTTGAGAAGCAATTGTTTTAACCACCACTACTCCACAAAGATTAGAAAATAACACTACGTAAATTAAGAGCGAACATACGAAAACACTTACCCATTTCGTTTTCTGTAACGGTTGGCAAATAGACACGAAGTAATCGATTCGAATCTAATAAGTTCGTACATTCATCTAAACTAATAGCTTTATCTTGATTCACTATTGTAAAAGCATTTCCAGCTGGATCACACAAAGAAATTCTCTCCATATATTTTACTTCCGAACGCTTGTCCTGTGCATGCATTTTACTACAGTTTTTGGTATCAATATTTGAATGGTTTGTTTTGCTAAGATGATCATTACCCTGCTGAGTATGCAGTTCCTTGACGTTTACCAACTACGAACAAATAGAAAACAATACGTAGAGAAAATGTTAGCTACTTTACAACCTTCAGGGAAGGTAAAATAAAGTGTATAGGAAATCTCGACTAAAACATAAAATCGTTATTTATGATAATTAAGATTTTCAATGACTGGTTATGAGCAATGAATCTACAGCATACTTTCTGTTCAAACTCAAGACGCCACTAGTTTGTGAAGCGGTTTAGTGTAAATTTCGATTGTGTAAGGATTCTGAGATGTTTGATCAGATAGAAATCAGTCTCTCAACAGCTTCCATGATATTGACTCGAAAAACAACATAGTGCAGTCATTTACTCATATTTCTAATGATCTACAAATCATACTTGATTATAATGCTTTGCGAATACTTAGCAGAGAATATAGATGTAGAAAAAGAAACATTCGACAAATGTCTGTTGTAACGATAAACAAAAACGAAACATGGCACGATGGAATCTGATTGACAATAACTTTAGATAAGTTACATAAATATGCTTTCCCGTTTTCAGGAAAATCGATACTTGACTGTACTTTTATATATAGGCTTCTTGAACTCAACGTTTGTCCTACTTTGAGGATTATGATTTGAGCTTTGGCCCTACTATATAACACAGTATTTTTAGATTCCTTTAGCTCCCCGTATTTTGCTATATCTTTCTTCGTTTTACTTTTTATTCGCTTAAAGTCTAACTCTTTTTGCCATAAAATCAACGAAAAAATATTAATCAAAGCAAAAAAACCTATGACTTGAAAAACGACTACATATTAAAAAGTAAGAAACGCTTGAAATGCATACATCACTTGGGAGTTCATTAAAACTAAAGGATTTTTCATTACAGTTCGATCCTGATAAAACTGTACAAGGCTGATCAATCAACATTGAGTTTGAAGTCACGACAGATATACATTTAGACAGCACTGAATTAACCGTATTCTGACGCCATCGTTCAGCACTCAAAAGATCAGGTCGCACAATAAAGGGTATTTCAGAATCTGAAGCAGCATGTTTCAATCTTGATTTTACAACTTGTGGACCACCTACTGCAAGGTACATGCTGAGAAGTGGAGGTGGACTCAAACCAAGTAAGCAAATCTGAAAAATTAAAAATCAAAAAAGAATCAATCTTTATAACAAGATGCGCTGAAATTTGAAGTACAGGCAGTATAACAAGGAAACAAAGTTTATATTAGTAACCTGCTAGATGCATGAAGCACTGAAATGGGATCAGTAATAAAACTGTTTAGAAACGGCAAAAAACAGTCCTTGGTAAAATTATATTATACTTGGACGAAATGAAGTCCAGATAAAATGTGCAGTCACCAAACTTCAAAACTCCAAGAGCATCCATTTTCTAGGTATACGTTGCTGATATATGCCAGTGACGTATTGAACTACATCTATGGACTGGAATCAACTCTTAAAACTTACCCCGTGTGATTCCTCTCAATTAACAAACATGAGCTTTTTGAGTGGAACTAAATAATGATAAGATAGACATTAAGCCTTGTAATCGGGTTTCAGTTTCATTGGCGAATGTGCATACACAACGTGTACCTCAGAATGTATTTCTTGCATTGACATTTCTGAGATGTATATAACTACCTGAAAAAAAGCCGTATCGTTGCCCATACGCTTCCCTTAACATCAGCCCATTAAGGCTTCCAGTCATTTATTCAGTTATGTAGGCAGTTATCAGTCGACCACATTGTATTGCTGTGTATCATCTAACAGTCAAAAATGTACTGATTATTCCAAAAACTAACTCTCATTCAAAATATTTTCGCTGTATGGTTTCATACAAACTAACAAGAGCATATTTTTAATCTCTTATGCATGATAACTAAAAATGCTATTTATTAGGTAAGTGCTTTAAAACGATTCTCAACTCTTTCATTTGCGACTGCTTGACAAAAATAGATTGGCTAAAAAGGAAAAAAGAAAAAGGTTACCTTCTTGATCCCTGTGTATAAAACTATGCCAACTCCAGGTTCTAAACAAATAGTTATTCGTGAATAAGGCACATACACAGCCTCACAAGCTCGAAGATAAACCAAATCACCAAAAACTGTTTGAAAGTTGTCCAGTTGCTTACAATCCAGATATTTATCATTTACGCGTAAACAAGCTAATCTTGATTGTTTATCGTGGAAACCAGATGAACCAGTAAGAAAACAAATCCATGAAGCAGATATTATATCAACAGCCAAAAATGCACGTGATTTCATTGGACCAGATTTATGTTGTGGAATAGTTACATCTTTAGCATTTGGTAGTGTCTGATAACTAGCATAAAGAAAAACTGGCAATTTACAATAAGCTCAAATTATTACTAACTTGATTTATGAGCAACTAAATGTAAAGAAACTAAGTACGATTACCAGTGTCTAACAAAACAATATTACGTATGTGGACATGAAATAATCAAACTGGAATGATCACCCGAAGACTTCGAGTTAGTTAGTTAGTTAGTTGCAACGTAGAAGACTTCGAATCATATCTAGAAACATTTCAACAGCGTTTATGATAACTTTTACAGAAACAAATATATTTTCTTGCAAAGAAATCTAATTCATTCATATAATAGGTATTATAACTCTAAAATGTATAAAATATTTTCTGGCCTACAATAATATTTTATCGGAATGACGATGTCGAACGCATATATTAGAAATCAACAAATGTGGAATGAAAACACTGCAGATTCAAAACTTGATAGATATATAATAGGAGACAAAAGATGCTTGAATTGTATATATATATATGTATATGTATATATATATATATATATATATATATATATATATATATATGTATACGTAATTGTTTCATGAATAATACAAACTCACCAGTTAAAGAAATTCCCATGAGGAGTTTTGCTTTTTGTAGTCCCAGGACTATTAAAAACAAGTGGTTCAGTTTTAGAGAAAGGAAAAAGTAAATCTGGTAGACGACGACTTAATAAAGCAAAGCGACCGAAAGCCGGTAGATCAGAGGAATCTATAAGAATAAAATAATAGAAATTCGTTGTAGAATTACATAACTGTTAAATTTAAGTACACAAAATAACGCTGCTTGTATCCTAAAAAGACGTGTTTCATGCTCTGACAGATTGGCTATAAAATCGACACAGCTAAATGAAACTTAAAGATACCAATTACACCTCACCTGTAACCCATCTGAAGTTTGATCGGATGAAAGCAACGATACAATAAAGAGTAGTCAATTCGACAAGCGTTTCAATCTGGTCACATCAAGAATGTTAGTCAAAAATAATTTTTTTCGTCTTATTTATGATTTTATTAGTTCGTTTATAAAATTATAACAGTTTGGCAGTCTCATAAACAAACTAGTACAAAAACAAATTGTCATGTTTCAGAAATAATACAATCTATCAACTTACAAGGGATGACACTACTAACGTTTTCTTTTTTGTAACTGGATTCATTATTTACTGGACTTAAAGGACCAGTATTAGTTGGTGTACTGAGTGATCGTACCGAAGACGGCTCTGACCACACCAGACGCAAACAAACTTTTGGGAGCAGCGGCTCATCAAGCAAGTTTTCAACTTGATCGGGATCAATAGTGTAGAGCTTCTCAGTTTGAACGGGAGTTTCAAGCTGATTAGAAGAATATATACTGCGCCTTGTAGAGGAGCTGAATGTGAGACGTAAAATAAAAATTATTCAATGATTACTCAATTAAGAAAACAAGTGTCTGGTAAATAATGGGGTTCAAACAAAATACAACCAAGACATATGACTTCCAAACTAAGGAAGCAACCATTCGAAATCCTAATAAATTCTCCGGAATACTGTTTTTACTAAACAATCCCACAGTAGTCCTATACAACGAACCGAAAGCGATTCTGGCATTAAGGAGTATAAAACGTGTGCATCTGAGGATGCGTTAAAATGCGCAGGTATTTGATGGAAGTTGGAAACATGGTCAAAAATTAACGAATTGAAAGAAAACTGGCCTGTTCCTTGCGAGTCAGGCTTTTACAGGCTTTGCTCAGTTTGCAGAGCAGGACAAAAACCAATACTTTAGAAGGAATCAGTAACTGGTTTGTACTCTGATAATTATCATATGAATTACGTAAGTCATTCTTAAAGCTGTGTACAATGATAGCCTTCTTTTAGAATCAAGCAGCACAGTTTACTGTATCTCTCCAAAGAACCCAGTCACTATCCAGATCAAAAGTTCACCAGTATCCTTTAGAAAAGTTGGATGTTTATCGTTTAATCTTTGTAGCAGTTCGCACGTAAAAGACTTGCGTTCATTGTCACACAATCAACAGTTGTAGAAAAAAAGGGGAATATGTAAAAATACAAACTTTAAACATCATAAAGAAATCATAAGGTGAACACAAAAACTCACAGTCGTCCATGTAATGCTGTGACGTTGTGTTTCGGAGTCTGAATGTTACCGATTGGTTTAGGTGTGCAAGTATTTCCTGTTTGCTGCGATTGTAAAACAGATCCCTTTCTTAAAAGAAAAGTTGATGGACTATTGGCTGCATATTGCAAATGGCTCATGTTGTTGGAAGGTGTGATATTAGAAAGACGGCTAATGTAAGCATCAAGGTTTGAAGGCGTAAAAGGAGCGACCTAGATAAACAATAACATAAACAAACCAATTCATGGGTAAAACGAAATCAGTAGACTGTGACAATACGGTTGGATGAAGTAAAACAACATAGAACATCGGTACAAGCTGTTGTACAACAGCACAGACAGATGAAATTAACGAAAGGAATGATAAATGGGTCGAAATAATAGTAATATCAACGATAGAGGATAAAGGATTGATGAATAAGGTTCGAAAGGAAATGAAGTAAGAAATAATATTGTAGGCCAAGACTTAGAGAACGGAATGAGATTGGATATATCTACACCGTTGTGAACGATTTTGAATCACTTTATGCTTTTCTGACGACTGATCATAGTTATCACACAGTCTGCATTTAGCAATATACCTTAGTCACCAACCTCGTATATGGATTCTATGTCTTGATTTATCCCCTTAAGCTTTCTTCCAAGTTATTCATTCACAAGCCGAAATCGCGCGTCTCGGTAGGCGGTGACTGAGCATACGTGACATATGTCCCGACCACCTCGATTGATGAGTACTTGTGGTCTCATTAACCCAGTTTCCTATCTTCAGTACCCTGAACCTTACATCAGCATTACTTAGTCAGTGGTTCCAATATGTATCATAAACCCTTCTAAGACACTTATTGCTAATTATTCCTAACCATCAAGTTCCCTCTACTTTTATAACGAACTTTTTAGAGTCATGAAGTAAATAAGAGCAGACTGCTGTCCATTATACTCGCCCCTTCATTGTCAGACAAAGATCTCGCCTATCCCAGGTCGCGCAATGCGCGTTTTTGGAAACTGTGCAAAGATTTCGGTAAATACCAATATGCCAGAGCCTATGAAACATTCAGGATGAGAGCAGTGGTCGAGATGTTCAGTTAATTAATTCAGCATGGTCAGTCAAAATGTGGATGCAAGCTGTGTACTCAACTTCATAAGGATAAAACACAACGCCTTCTAGCTGAAATGATGTGCGCACTGATTCCAGTTATCTGGATTAAAACTAAAGTGAGTTTAGACAAAAAGATGTAATTTAGTACGGTATAGAATTTATCAAGTAGAGCCTATATAATTCAACGGAATGCACAATAAATACTTTAGCACGAATCTCGACTCCTCTACTTCACTTGGGAAGAAGAGTAACTTCACTGGTCTTAACATGTAAAAATCATACAACTCAACAAAAACTATATAACTGCACACTTAGTAAGGGAGTTAGGCTTATTTTGTTACCACGTTCACCGAAATTGATAATCACAGACTTAAGTAACTACTATCATAAAAGAATTGTTACAGCTGTGGGACTTGTTACCATGGATGAAGTCAATGATAAAATAAAGATCCTAGTGTACAACGTGCAGAATGAAACATACCGAAGATTGACTAGGAGTTGGAAGATTACCACTGTGATTCAGGCTAAAAGATTGTGTTTCAGTTCTCCTTAAACGTGACAAAGATGCAGCAAAAGGACTCAAGCAAATGGTAGGATTTGGTGAACATCTAACGGAATTTTCATCAAAAGTATTCGCATCTTTATTAACATTTTCAACATATTTCATAGATTCAGGTTGGTAAACTAAACCAGTTAATGCATGTGTAGCCACACTGGCGCGGCCATCAGCATCCATTTGATATAAATATATGTAGTCCTAAACAAAAAAAAACAAATATAGAACATAAGTTATATCTAATTTACAAACTGAAACGAAAATCCTAGATAACAGTTTGAAAAGCCCAATCACTGAAAAGTATTACACTAACACCAAAAGGATATCGAAAATTACAATTGTATGTTCAATATCAAAAGTATGCAATTTAGCTTTTATCCACTTTCAAAATAATCTATCATACTAAAAGTTTATTCAAAACTGCACGAATAAGTTCTCTTCATTTTTTTATCAATAACACCGATGAGGAATCAACGAGGCAAATCAGGTTGTGAATAGTATATATGAAAAACAAGGAGGAAGACGATTTTAGACAAACAGCAAGCATAAATAATATATACCAATGCTAATTAACTACACTTTTTATCCTACTTCATGCAACTGAATATTTATTTATGAAAGTATGAAGTATTCTTATCTACACATATGAGTATTCTGAGTAGCTGAGATAGATGAAAGTTGAATATATGTTCATATATGTCCACTTTATGTCCCCACCTAACATCCTGAAATCAATTGATCTTGTTCATTAATAACCTACCTCATTAAAATGAGGGAAATTTTATTTTTCTTTATTTATGCTACATATAATAATGGTTAACTCATAGCGTCTGATGACTTCCAAACAAATGTAATAATTACTATTATTAGTCTGCCAGTTTCTCTCGTATAAGTAACATCTAGCTACAACACAACTAAAGATGCTGTATAATAATTCGGTCATACAAACATGTTAATGTACAAATGGTCAAATATATATTCTGGCAAAGTTAGGTAGTTAATTCAGAACTTACATGTGACGACGCCTTCTCCAAAAGCCAAACAGAGTGCAGTCTGGTTAAGGAGTGGTATGTTATAACCATATTAAGCGATGCAATAACACCGATTATTTTTAAATGTATATCACTGACAAAACCTATTCCAAAGCCGCCATTAGGCAGAGGAACTTTCAAGATAACAGGAGCAGCTTCATCAAGTGGATGTGTGAGACTGAACATTGAAAACAACGCACATGAACTCGACGGTATTGTGTTAGAATTTTCGAACCTGATTTCATGATCATTTGGCTGACGTTCAAGAAGAACAAGTGTATTTAGAGCCCAAACCTCTCCTATGCGACATGGAATCCGTACTGTGTAGAGCTCTCCCCAATCATCAATAAAAGTCATTCGCTCCGACTCGAAAATAGACAATCCTTCTTGGATTCGTCCAGGTATATTCTCATTTACATAGGGCTATAAGTTAAACGTTTCAAAATAAGTTATAATTTAGTATACTACATACACAAATTTACCATAAACACGTAAGGAAGAATGAATATTAACATTCTTTCTTTTACGTTTATTTAGAATTTTAATATAAAATCATTAACAGATATCAAAAATTCACTAAACAAATTTGTGAAACGGACGATTTATCAAGATCGACATAATGATTAACATTTCATGTACGGTTTCCTAGTGTACCGTTAGTCAGTCAGCTACAACGTGGAACTTCAGTACATCACTTCAGGTTGCCATGCAACATAAGCACAGAGAAAGGAAATTGTCAGAGCAAATCCGATAGCAGTAGAGGTTGTAGCAGCATTAGCGGTAATGGAGATGATTAGGGACCAAAGAAGTATATCCGGGTGAAATAAATTTAAAAAGAGAAAAAAGGTGATGAGGAATTCATAAGATCCGATTTTGAGCGAACACTTCAAATGATGAAGGTTCACCTAATCAACATTCGACTTGCCACTCTTATCTGGTATGCTGTTCTTAACAACAGCATTGTTACTCAGTGGTCCCAGGATATACGACCAGTGCTTCGAAAACGCCTATGATTGAATACCAGTAACCTACGAATATCTACTCTTACTGGTCATGTTCCACACCAATATAGTAGGACGGAGTGGATTGATGCGCAGTACACTCGACCTTCGGTTAGCAAACGGATATCTCGCCTACGCCATAAATGACGCGAGTTGGCAAAAACCAGTGGAACACTTTGTATTCGTGCTGAGATTTTGTCAGACACCAGGTGATCAGCACTGATGAGACTCCCAAAATAAGTGGGGCGATCAACATGCTCAACTACTTCACTCCCTCTCACTAGTCCAGGTGCCAATACAAGCCAATCCTGAGTCAATAATTTGCATTTCAGCGGGGAGAACCGAATCCCGAACATGCTTGCACTGTTGCTTAGGGTGGTCAGAGGATTCCGCATTCTGACAGACTCTTCACCAAGTTGAACTATGTCATTGGCATAATCTAAGTCAGCAAGGGAGTCTCCTGGTAAATGTTTAACTCCTTAAAAGCAGAGATGGTGAAAGTGTCATCGATGACCAAGTTAAATAAGCATGGAGAAATTGGACAACCCTTATGAACACCACTTGAAGTAATCAATTCCTATGACAGTTCGTCATAAGCTCTAACTCGATCAATGGTGTACGAGTAGAGAGATTGTACAAGGTTAATGTACTTCTTTGGTACACCTTTCAATGACAAGCACTACCATAGAATCTCACATTCGACAGAGTCAAACGCCACCTTAGGGTCAAGAAATACTATTGATGAATGTCAAAAAGTGTGGCTATGTTCGAGAACCTGTCGAAATGTAAATATTTGGTCTATAGATTCAGGTCCAAGTCTAAACTCTCTGGTTTCCTCGAGTCTGCTCTTCACGAGCTCTAATTGGGTGTCGAAGCTAACATTTTAGACACTATGAGTTAAACTGAGCCCTTTGTGATTTTCACAAGAGGACTTCGGTCCTTCTTATAGGTTGGGATAATCAGGACCAGTCCCAGCTAAAATCTCAGCCAATCTGTCATCCTTGCTATCACTCTTGGATTTGAACCGACAGTTACGTCTCTGTGCTGACGTGGTATGGCAACCTGAACTGATGTACTTATGTACGAAGTTCTGCGTTGTATATGTCTGTCTGTCTATCAGTCATCCTTAAAATGTTTAGGAGTTACCCTATCAGGACCTGCTACTTTTCCTCGCCTTAGATTGCCTAAAGCCTTTTCAAGAGTCAGAGGACTTGCTATTCGGGTTGACTGGAAATCGTGAGCAACTGAAGTGTGACTGAAGGACAGTTGAACTGCTCCCTAAATTACTCCACCCACTGATTCAATCTCCTGGCTTGAGAGTGAATGGTAGTCCCGTCTTTATCTGAGTCGCATTAAAAGTTGCGTTTCTAATACCAGTTTTGTAGATAAGTCGACAATTGTCAACTGTTACCTACCGCATTTGCTCTTTCCACATCCACTGTTTTCTGTTGCGGACGCTACCACTGCTCACAAATGTTTTGTAGGATTTTTATTAGTCTTTGTTTAAGCTGCCTCCACTCCCCATCGTATTCGGAGCCAGGCGGAATGAATTTTCGAGCATCTATTAGTTCCGTAGATGCAACTGAAATCTATTGATTTCCCGTAACATTTTGGTTAACGTTACTTATAGATATCACTGCTGTTTCCGCAGAGTTCTGGATATCAGTCCAAGCTGCATCGGGAAGGATATAATTTACATGGCTGCTCAACTGTTTTTGGAGTAGCTCTGGAAATATAATCTCGGCAATGTTGCTGTTGAGTGGAAGTCCCGTCCATTAAGCTACAGACAGTCAATCAGTCAGTCAGATGCAACGTAGAACTTCGTACGTAAGTACATCAGTTCTATTAGCTTAAAGCACGAATGCAGAGATTCTTTTCTCAAACTGCCTTGTAAATAAATGCATAAAATAATTTTATCCTATTACTAGCAAACAATCTTTAATCGTGTGACCTAGAAATACTAGTATTTCAAGCAATATTGTTCGTTATGTTTGTAACTATGCCAAGGTTACAACTACGTTTGTTCATAGTGTTTAATCATATCTTTCTGTCACTATCTATTATTAAATGAGTAGATTAAAAAATATACTGGGTGTTAACCAATTACTACATTCATCGCAGTGTAGTATAACCGTATCCTAGAACTATCGAGTAAGCAATAATGTTGTTAGGATACGGGTACTAGGTAAGGATGGCAGATCAATTGATGAAGTATTGAAACTTCACCAGTTGAGGTGGTTGGGACATGTGTTACGAATGTCCAAATACCGACTGCCTCGAAAAGCTATGCTTTATGGCGTAGGAGTAGGTTGAAAGGAAACTAGGGGCGGCCAAACCAAAACATGGCACAAATCCATGAAATCACTGACAAATGGACTGAGTCATGTTAGTTAGTGTAGACTACCCAGTTGGGGTCTGCGAAATGATAGTAATCGATGGTTAGAGACCTTGAATGACATGGCTCAAAATCGTTTGCGATGGCGTAGGTGTATCTATTAGCTTTATAAATTTCCTTCACTCGATCAGACTTCTTGAATTATTCCTTTGAACCTTAATCTTCGTCACAGCTAATACTTCTACTATCTGTACCACTCGGTCAGTCGGTCAGTCAGTCAGTCAGTTACAACGTAGAACTCCTTACGTAAGTACATCAGTTCATGTTGCCATACCACATAAGCACAGAGACGCAATTGTCAATTCAGATCCCATAGTGGTAGAGATAGTAGAAGAATTACTGCTAAGGAGAAGATTAGGATTTGAAGATAATATTCAAGAAGTATAATTAAGTGAGATAAGTTTAGAAAGACAAAAGTAGAGGAGTTGACGAATTCAGAAGATTAGGATTTGGGAGAACATAGAGAGTGGATGCACCTGTGCCACTGTAAACGATTTTGAGCCATATTGTTAAAGGTTTCTAACCATCGATTTTTATCATCTCGCGGACCCCAACCAGGTAGTCGACAACTACCGACATGACTCAGTCCATTTGTCAGTCACTCCAAGCATTTCTGCCATGTTTTGGTCTGGCCGCCCCTAAGTTTCTTCCAACCTATTCCTACACTACAAAACGAAGCTCTTCGAGGCAGTCGGTGGTTAGACATACGCAACACATGTCCCAACCATCTTAACTGATGAAGTTTCAGCACTTCATCTATTGATCTGCCATTCTTACCTAGCACCCGTTTCCTAATAAAAGCGTTGCTCACTCAGGTGTCCCAGGATATATGAGCAATGCTTCGAAGACACCTATGATCGAAAACCAGTAACCTACGAATATTTTCTACCCTCATTGGCCATGTTTCGCATCCACATGGTAAAACGGAGAGAACTGCTGCACAGTACACTCGACCTTTGGTTGGCAAACGGATATCTCGCCAGCGCTATAAGTGACGTAGTGTTGGTCTTAGAGACCTGGGTGCGTGACCGCAGAGCCCAAGGGACAACTGCTTGAGGCTGGTCACGCACGGCCTTTTGATGAGAGGTTTTTTGAGTATTAGCTACGCTTTTAAAAGACATTAGTGGGCGCCTTTACCGACGGAAACGGAAATCCGTGAGGTAGGGTGAGGTGTGACATTTTTAGGGTCGACCTTATCTAACCCCTTCCTTTCCTTTTGAGAAGGCAGCATTGCTGCAGACAGAAACACCTTACTGCTGTTACAGCCCTCTACAGTCAGTAGTACAACTTCACCCAGAGACCTTAAAATGTTGCTTTCAGTATCACCGTTCTCCGACTGACTCGACTGGAATGATAGGATTGAACGCAGCATACGTTTCAGCCAGAGCTCAGGTAGGTCATCACGATAGGTAAGTTCGACGACCACGTCAATGTATCAGCTACCAGCTGGAGATGTATAGCAGAACCATATAGTAAATAATGTTGTTTTTGCACCTACATTTTACCTTCTGTATTCAAGTGTGCAATCCAGGGTGAGTAGCGATCGCACTAGTTGTGATTCACGCTTGATATAAGTTGTGTGAACTTCATGGAAAAAGGGGAGAGACTTGGAGAACATAAATTGACTTAATATCCACAAATCTAATTGGAAACCAGATGATAGGACGGTGAAATAATAGACCATATTTTGCGGTAGTCATTACGACCACCATTGAGTTGTCACAGCGTTTCTGCTAGGTTAGGCACTCCTGATTCAAGTAGATAGCAGAAATTAACAAGTCTAGTCTTGTTTCGCACACTTCATTTTCTATTTTTATTCATTTACAACACTTCTATACTATTATGCAGTGTCTCAGCTAGCAGTGCATGTTGCATATCTAAAACATTTATGGCCGACTGTACTGTGAATCGAAAACTAAGTAAATTATGAATTCGCTATTAAGTCAGATCTTAGAATCTAGGACCAAATAAAAGCCATTTTTACCGAAAAATGCACAAACAATCTCTTTTCTGTTAAGGCCTGTTATACACTGAACATCATTAGTTTTATTAAAGACACGATAAAAATGCAGTGAATCTAAGCTCCGAATGTCTCCTGCTAGGCCAACTATTTCGAAAATTCACAGAAAAAGCCTGCCATTTTTAAAAATAAAACTCGAGTCTACCGCAAATGAATGTATAAAATGATAAAAAAGTGTCAACTCATGTCTATAGATGTTCACAAGCAGTAAAGGCTGAAATAACATTCACTGAATTGTCCACTCATATTATATTTACTGATAAAACTCACCAAAAATCCCTGACCAGAATGAAGAGCAGGCAGAAAAAACGAAGATTTGAACGCATCTATGATTGGAGTATCAAAATTGAGTACTAGTTTTGGAAAGGAACCAGCGATTTCCGTCACATAGCTCCACACAATGGTACTTCGAGAAATGTAGAGCTCATCGAATAGTCCACCAGAGCCCCATGTTCTCCAGAAGTAAGAAGGCTTGAAAATCGGTGTTGTAAACAACGAAACTTACCTGATCTTTTGACGTGTTTGATACAGTTCGCATGCTGTCTTCATGACAAAACTCCGACAAGTACTGACATCCACAAGGAACAACATCAACGACTGATTTAGCTGATATCATGATATCTGACATTTATACGTCCACTAGTACTAAAACGTATAGCATCAGTCGGTAAACATGATTTAGAGTAACGCACAGCTTAAGAAACGAATACCTAAATTTCGAGGGTCCAATATCACTTCACTATCTTCAGAAATAAGTATGGTAGGTGAAATGACTTACTCAAGTACTCGTAATTCATGAATAATCTGAAAGCCTTTTTCGCTTTAAATGTATCAGCAACTATTATCTTTCAACAAAACTCACTCCCCAACTTTAGAGAGAAATTTTGTCAGGTAACCAGCTCAAAACGGTGTGGATAGAAGCGAAACCACTCTCGTTTAACCGTCTTTCGTATAGAGTGAAGATGGATCACCAATTCATCCATGTAAGGAACTAGGTAGATATAACAGGAAATATAATTAAATTAAAGTTAAGTAAAATCTGAAACCTTAAGAATATGATACATTTTCTACTAAAGGACCCTCCGTAAGTCATTTAGACCACCTCAGCTGTCTGAAATTTCCAGGATTAAACTACTCACGAAGAGCAGAAATTGTCCTGAGGATCAAATATCTAAGACCTTTTTCACGAGAAAGTAGAAACCAATAGATTCCATTGAGCACGATTATTGTTCTTTTACCACGCTTCCAGGCATTTTGTACTGTCCAGTAGATGGAGGTTTAACCAAACGGTTGCACCCTTACTTGTCGGTTGGCAGTTCTATATGACTTCGCATGTCCCAAGATTTGAGTGAGTGCCCTTCTTTCAGAACAATAGGATTCCCAGATACCAGCAGCCATCTTATTTCCACTCCGAAGATCAGTTAGTTGCCTGTTTATCGAGACTTACAAAAATTTTCGTTGTAGAGATTTTTCCTCCACATGCGCCTAATTTCTTTGTGTTGCTTCTATTTGAGTATAAAAGACGCCATTTCCACCACAACACACGATCACCATCCAAGTGACGTGGAGGAATTATCACCAGGTATTTGACAGTTGTCAACATAATCTAAGGTGGTTTCTGTGTCATTAGAACGCATGTAGTGAGAGCCACTAATATTTCTCTTCCTTTCTCTGCTGACCTCTTTGACCTGTGAGCACTTGTTAGAAAGTGTGGCTGGTCTTAAACACTTGACGAGCCCGCAAGCTGATCAAGTTTATAGCAGTCCGAAAAATGTCTCAAGACCTTTTCGCCATAGGAAATCCAGTACTGTTGATCTGGACTGTTCTCTCTCTGATATGTTTATTACCCCGGATGACTTAACGCAGACTGAGCAACCGCAAAACACTTGTAGCAAGTCTGTTTACTATCCTTTTCACCCTAACAGCTGCGAACTGAACTCCAGTACATTAGCCACTAATAGTTATAAGGACACCTTAAGTGCACTCGATATCAACCAAACCATTCAGGATTTACTACCTTACAAATACCTGGTCAGCATTCCAGAAAATCCTGATCTCGAAATCATATATCATATAAATCATATATAAACCTGACAGTGCTAGCCTAAAGTCTGTTAAAAACATTCTCCTACAAGAGTATGGATTGTTTCAGCCTTGGTGTGCAGCACGCAGGCTACGTACAGTTCAGACTACATATTCTTGTCCCATTCTTCTTCACTTTAGTACTATCATGGGAGCCAATCACTTCATTGATAGTCAGTCACTACTTGAACACATTCCACTATTTAAGAAGATTAGAATTATCCGGGATAGAACTACAATACAACGCCGAATTACCAATGGCCTTCCAACTATGCCGACCGATTCGTGCACTAGTAACAGCTACAATCACGAATGTCACATTAACCCTACAATACCTACCTCCACCCCTCCTAAAACGGAGAGCAGATCCAAAGTGACTACTATTCCAAAGATCTGTCCACTGAATAAGAGTGCTGCAACTTTTCCCGTAGTCAAAAGCCCATCTACATGTAAACCACAAGCCAATCGCACTTTGGTGATATACAAACATTGTCCTAAAGATTACAGGACAGACCTAGTGGTTCGAAATTCTCACACGAAACGTGCTACTCGCCCTAACCTTCAGTCTTCAGTACTTAACCTACCTAATAAACAACAATGCCTGCCCCTACCTCTCCTACTCGGGACGCTACTATACTTCTAAAATTAAACCCTAGGATTCCTAAGAATACGGACACACATACCATAACTACCTCCCTAAACTCCAACCTTAGGCGCCTCCCCGTTTCTAACCCAAAGCCTATACCCTTAATTGCGTACAAAAAGACTAGGATGCTAAGAGTTGCTGAGATAACTCATAACACTAGCCTGCTTGGGCATCCGCTTAATGTTCCTAAACACCACCCTAGCCGAAATACCTTTTACAATCCTTGGGTCCCTCCTCAAAAACATGTACATTACCCTTTTTTAACGCTCACCCCCTCAACAGAGTTGTTTTGCCTCCTCCAGCTGTTGAGGGTGATATTTCCTCCTCATTCAAGTCATGCTCTGCATTCTGTGATGTAATAGATGACAATCAATCTTTGCCGCTACCTGCCCCTTCTAGCTGTAATACTTTTACGTCTGGTCCTTTTGACAAACCACCTTTCACATTGTCCAAATATTTGACTTACCCCACTGTACCTAATCCAATGGGCTTACGAAACGATCCATCCTTATGCCCCCTAGCGACTTCCTCATCTGTTCTTTGGGAGTCATCATTCAACTCTGCCGGACGACACTTATCGTATCTTACCTCACATGCTTCTCTCACCATGCCTGTCTCTGAATACCTTTCTCCCTCTAACTATATCGCTCACAAATTAACTGACCATAACAATCAAGCCTATATTCCTACTTCCAGCCCTTCTTCAGAACACACAACATACAACCCTCCAGATGTCCATCGTGCATCCCTGAAAGTTGAGTATTCATCCTATGTAACACTAATGCTAATTAATTCCCGATCTCTTATCAGTAAGATTACCCACTTACGCTCTCTGGTAATTCTAAACAATCCTTCCATTGTCATGATTACTGAAAGCTGGTTTTCCTCCGATGTCCCTGACTCATACCTTCTAACAGACTCTTATGAACACTTTCGTGGTGACCGAGGATCTAAAAAGGGTGGTGGTGGCCTCATCTATGTATCTAGAGACATCAAAGCAGAAATGTTTTATGATACTGTTCTTAATCAAGTGCCTGATTCGATATGGCCGACTGTGCACGCCCATGAATGTAAAATACTGGTTGGATGCATATATCGAGCTCCAAACACTCATGGATCGGTTGACGTTGCTATTGGTGAGTCGTTTGCCAGGGCTGCCTCTCTTACGTTCGACTGAAAAATTATTTGTGGTGACTTCAACCCCCCTGGAATCAACTGGCAGACACATTCCGGTCCACTACGATTTGATAGCTTACTTGGTCCCCTAGACACATGGTTGGCAACAACATGTGCACCTGCCGACTAGAAACCACAACATTCTCGATTTAGTATTTTGTCACGATGTCACCCTAACATCTGTGGTTGTCTGCGAAAATTTTCACAACAGTGACCATAAAACTGTCCTCTGTACCCTTCCGTTTTTTGCTAAATGCGACAAATCTAAAACAGTAAAACGTTTTCAAAACAAGGACTATGAACATGCTGACTGGGACAGCTTCCAGAACCTAATTTAGCACTCCGACTAGACTACGTTCAAAAATCTCTATCATCTGCTTAACAAACGCATGAAAAATAACACGAATCACAACATTCATTCGATACTGCTTGATGTAGAGATTTATTATGACCACACTGTTATTTGTGAAATGTTCAGTACATGCTTCTCATTCAATCAGAACACATTTCTTACATCTGATATTAATTTTAACTGTATCTGTGAAAATAATCTCAATCCCATCAACGTTAAAGTCAGTAATATTCACACCGCCATTAAAATCCTCAAACATAGTGCATGCAATGGTGTGGTGAAATACCATCCATACCTCTTAAAATGTTACGGCCAAACATACTGACGCCATTGCTCAAAATATGTTTATCATCCTTAGAGGCTGGTAAATACCCTAAAGCCTGGAAAGCAACTCATGGTGTCATGACAGAAAAACATAATCCAAAACTACAGACCAACTAATATCACCACAGTTACCTCATAGATAATGAATAAAGTGATAAAAGATCGATTATCTGATCACCTACTCAAAGAAAGTCACATTGACCCCTCATAAAACGGCTTTATTTAAGCTAAGACATTCACCACATGTCTGATAGACTTCTTTAATTAGGCTGCTAACATAGGCAAGCGATAGCAACTAGTGATGTGGAAAGGGAAAGGGCTTTTGATAAGGTATCTTCCGAGCAATAGACTTCAGTCCATCGGGATTACTGGCCACCTATTGAAATGGATTAGGTCTTTTCTCACGAATAGGTACGAAATTACTAACAGAAATTCTTGAACATCTACACGTTGACCAACAACCAGTTGTTATGTGCAGAGCAGGTTCACTGCCTTTCATTATCTACATCGACAGCATTTGCCTTCTCTTCAACCTACTTCTTAGCTGACGACCTAAGAGTGATCAATGAAGTAACAAATTTTGACAGGAGATTTGATAAAAACAATACAATAATAAAGATAACTGGTGCAAATGTTGGTACTTGGAACTCAGTACTGAGAAATATGGCTGGCTGTGTTTAGGATAAACGTCTACTAAAATAAGCAAGAATGTACTACCTAACTCACATCAATAACTGATCTAGGAGTGGATTACTCTCACAGCTTGGACTATTGTGAAAAACATTTTTAACACATCGCAAGTGAGATAAATGCTAGGCTTCATTTCTCCCAAGTTCCTTAATAGAGAAACCAGAACAATTCTTTACAAAACTGGCCTAAGACTTATTGGTGAATACTGCTTATTCTTATTTTCCGAACTACGCCTAACTGATCTGCTGAAGGTTGAAGGAATACAAAGGAAGTTAACGCCTAAAATTCCAAGAAATAACTCACACTTTTACAGTATCACCCGATGTTATGGACTTGGACTTGAACCACTCTAGAAAAGAAGGATTAATTCAAATCTAATACTTTACCTAAAGCTCCTATATAAGGTCACATACTCGTTTTGAAGAGTAGACCTTATCCGCCGTCATTGCTAGATCTTCCAAATATTTTCGTCT